GGAGGCCTGAATGTCATTCAGTTGGAAACTGCAGTAGGGGCTGCCATTAAAAGTTTTGAGAACTCTCTAGGTATTAATGTTCCTAGGAGCCGTTTTCTGCCTGTCAAAACCACATCAGATCTCTTGCTTGTGATGTCAAACCTCTACAGCCTTAATGCAGGATCTCTGACAATGAGTGAAAAGCGGGAATTTCCTACAGTGCCCTTGGTTAAATTAGGCAGTTCTTTTACAAAGGTACGTAATTATAAAGATGATATACGTGTAGATTTGTATTTCTTAAATGTGTAATTATAAAGATACGATACACGTGTGAATTGGAATCTAATTACAGTCTTTGCTGCTGATCTATCATATTCCTCCATCTCTATTGTCTTTTAAAGGGAATCAATCATAGAAGGTGAAAATGTAACTCATTTTTTAACCAACTGCTATAGAGTAGAAAAGAATGTTTACATTTTAAGACATTTTATCTTATGTCTCGTTTAAGACCATTACTGTTTTCATCAGTGAGAGAATGTTAATTCTAGTTTCACAAAACGTATTGAGCCTCTACCATGTGTAAGGCAGTGTTCTAGGTGCCAGGTATTTAGCAGTAAATGAAACAGACTAAAATCTTTGCCTTCCTGAATATTCTAGTGGGGAAGGATGATAATAAGCAAGTAAGACAAATGTATAGTACGTTGAATGATGGAAAATGCTAAATAAAGCAGGAGTAGGGAATGTGTGGGTGTGGCAGTGGTGGTGTCATTTTACATTGGGTAGCCAGAGGGCCTCACTGAGAAATTGAGTACACCATGCAGGTATCTGGGGCAAAAAGCATTCTAGGCAGGAGGAATAGCAAGTATAGTAAAACCGACCCTAACATGATAAGTGGACTCCAAAAAATTTAATCACATAAAATGCTGTGAGGTTAATGAAGTGACAGGGTGAGCTTTTGTGGCTGGCCTATAGAGTCCTGCTATGCAAGTCTATTCTAGTCCTGGTTGTGGTTTAGTGTCACCTGGTGTGGATGTGTGTACTTGCCCTTATATGTTCGGGGCTATCATTCTGGGTCTTGTGGCTGGGCTAGAATTTCCAAGATAGCATCAGGCATTTTAGAAGTCTCCCTGGTCTTTCGTGCCTCCCTCATCTGCCGGGTTGGGCTGGGAAAATCCTGGTGCTACAAGGACCCACCATCTGCCCACATCCTGAGGTAAGATTCCTAATCATTTTCCACCTAACCTCATCTTCCCTTCCTACTCTTTCTAGCCTCTTCCATACCCTGCAGGAGATAAGAACTTTAGCTGCCTCAATTTGAGAACAGGGGCTGAGTGGGCAATGGCTACTTGCTCTGAGGAAGAACATGTCTTACGGACACTAGAGCACAGTGAGCAAGTGAGGGATGGGGGTGGGAGATAGTTGGTCAGAGAGATGACAGGCCAGATTGTGTAGAACCTTGTAATTGAATATTGGGAGTGTGGCTTTTTTTTTTTTTTTTTCTGGGGGATGAGAAGCCATTGGAGAGTGTGAGCTGAGGGGTCAAGTTGACCAATCTGGTGGGCAAGGGTAGAATCAGGGAAACAAGGGAATAGGCTGTTGCTGGAATCCTGGCTTGGACCAGGGGTTTTTGTAGGGGAAATAGTGAAAAAATGTTGACATTATATTTTGAAAGTTGTACCTACAACTTGCTGTTGGACTAGGTAGGAGGGTGAGAGAGAGAGAACGGTAAGGATGGCTCTGAGGTTTTGGCCTGTGCAACTGGCAACATGGAATTGCCATTTACTGAGACACAGGAAGGCTTGGGTAGAGTAGGTTTAGGGGGAGCAGAATGGGGAGTTAAATTTTGGAGATACTGTACTTGGACCTTCAAATGGAGAAGCTGAATGTATGAGTGTGGAGGAGAGCTCTAGAAAAGAGGTAAATTTGAGGGTTGTCACTTTATAGCTGGTAATTAAAGCCATGAGATAAGGATCACCTAGGGAGTGAAAGGGGGGTGGGGAGTCCAAGGACTGAGCCTTGCGGGACTGGAAGGCTTAGAGGGTGGGGATGAGGTGGAGGAAGCAGCAAAGATGACTGAGGAGTTGCAGATGAAGAACTGGGCAGAAAATCATGAATGTGTGTGGCCTGAAAGCCAAATGAAGAAAATGTTTCAAGAAAAGAGGGGCTAATCATTTGCAGTCAAGTGCTGCTGCCGATTCAAGTAAGATGAATGAGAACTTACCATTAGATAAAACAGTTGAGAGGTTTTGGAGCCTGACTGGAATGGATTTAAAAGAGAATAGAAGAGAAATTGGAGATGTGAGTGTAGAAAACTTATTCAAGAGTTTTGCTTTAAAGAAAAACAAAAATGGAGCTATAGGTAGAAAGGGATGTAAGATTTTACAGGGTTTTTTTTAAGTTGAGAGAATTTATAGCATGTCTTATACATTGATGGGAGTTGATACAATCAAGAGGGAAGGAACATTGAAGAGGGAGAAGGAATTGCTGGACAGTATCCTCGGGCAGTAGCCATAAGAAGAGTTAGCCTTAAGTTGGAATAGAAATAGTCCAACCCCAGTACTAGGAGGGACACGGTAATGGGCTAGAGGGCAAGTGGGTGGTGGTGGTAGAAGCCAGTGGAAGTTTTCCTGTTGCTTCTGTTTTTCTCAGCAAAATAGGAAACAAGGCCATAGAGGACTATTTCTAGTGCCGGTAAATCTAAGGAAATAATAAGAGGCAAAGATAGTGATCATTTATAATGATAATTTGTGCTGTTGCTCTTCCTGAACTATATTCCTTCTTCTCAATCCTACCCATCCCATAAAACCCAGCTCCAGTCTAGCTTGCTTCGAACCATGATGATCTCTCTCTTTTTTCCAACTAACTCCAGATTATGTGAACCACTCATCTGGCTCTTAGCGTGTTGGTTGTTTATCTTTTTATTTAATTACTGTTATTTTAAATGTCTGATCTACTCAGCTGTAGTGTAAATTGCTTGATTGTAGGGACAATGTTCATATCTCCTGGTCTCTCCTGCACAGGATATGTAAATTCTCACTGCACGCACAGTGAGTGCTTAATAAACAGGGTTCCTCCCGTAGAAGGCCTGAGCTTGGACATAAATAGAATGTTTTACAGTTCAAGCAAACTATCTTGTTAATTTAATCCCTGTTTTTCTGTTAACCCATTTTTGAAACAGTTTTTATGTTTACATTTTTCCTTCAGGTTCAGGATTATCTAAGGAGATTTGAAAGTATACCAGATATGCTTGAATTGGATCACCTCACAGTTTCAGGAGATGTAACATTTGGCAAGAATGTTTCATTAAAGGTGTGTGGTTACGATGAAAATTACAGTTCTTATAGCTTTACAAGACAGGTTTCATTTTCTAGTCCTAAATTTACCTTTAAGGAATACTTCCTAGGTTGTACCAGATTGTTTATAAGATATGCATTTTAAAAATGAAATAGCTTACTACAATATTTAGTATTAATACTGTTTTCCATAAATATACAACATAGTTAAAATATAATTGTGTATAGGCATTTTGTGGAGTATAGCATTCAAATGGAAAGCAAACACTATTAAATAATTGAATTGGTACTATTTTATTGAAATATGACAATATTTAAAATAGAATCACTGATAAATTAGCATTAGTTAACTAAAAGATGACTATTTGAATCTGAATGAAAGTAGAAAAAAATGACAGCTTCATTTATACTGATTATAATCTATTCTTGTTAATCTGTTGTTATCAGTATGATGTTCATTCACATTACTGTAGTGCTTGGATACTTTGATGAGTATCATTCCAGCCTAGCATAAGAAATAGGAAGGACTATGGGTATGAGTATTAAAGCTCAGAACCAAAGATTCAACAGTTTTTTCCTAATCAAATATTTTTTAAAACTTCCATACCTAGATTTCAGGTGTTCTTCCTATTAAAGCTACTTACAGATCTTGGGAAAAAAACAAAACAACATATATATAATTATTGCTGATACTGCTTCATCTAAACAGTTTTACTTAAGACATGAAATATAAATCATTGAACTGTTCTCCAAAAAAACCAAAAAACAAAAAAACCCACACCTGTATGTAAATATAAACCAAGCACCTTTCAGTTTACGAAGGTAGATAATGCTGGTGGCCTTGCAAGTAGTTCTTGGAAAGGGCCCGCCTATTCTGTGGCGCTGGCCTGCTTCCCACTGCTAGATTCCTTGCCTCCTTATCAGAGATGGTACCACAGCTACCGCCAGTATTGTGACAGGACACATTACAGTTTTCCTTAATGTGTTATTTGTTTTTCATGTGTAATATTGTTTATAAATACACTTACTCCATTGTAGGTGAAGTTCTACATAAACTTGATAATTGTAAGAAAATCAATTGCATTTTCAGCTGCACTTGCAAGTATACTCTTGTTTTTTGTTTTTTCTGTCACTTAGGGAACGGTTATCATCATCGCAAATCACGGTGACCGAATTGACATCCCACCTGGAGCAGTATTAGAGAACAAGATTGTATCTGGGAACCTTCGTATCTTGGACCACTGAATGAAAAATATTGTGCACTTTATACTAATTATGGGTTAAACAGTTTCTTACAATGAAATGTTCTCTAGGATTATAAAATAGGCAGGTACTTTACTATGTTACTGTATCATGCAGTGTTAATTTTTAAGTTGAGTTTTCTGCGGTATGCTTTTAGTCTGTGAAAAGCACAGGTGGAAGCAGTACTTTTCTTTTTGAAGAAGATCCTGAAAGTTAAATTCATCTTAAAGTGCAATATTGTTTAATCTTAAAACTGGGGTAGCTCTGCTGGAAAATCTTTTAACAGAGGCCTCAGTGATGGTCACTTTGAACTGTTTGTGGTTTTAAAAATAAAGCTGTGAAGCAATCATGTATACACTTATACTTTTCAATGCTAACTTTATGAAATGGTGAAGAAAAATGGTTTACTCTTGCTAAACAGTTACTCTGTCAGTTGGAAGACTCGCTCTTGGAACACTGAAGTACTCACTAGCCAGTTACCTAACAAATCCAGTTTTTGCATTTCTGAGAATCTTAACCACATCATTATTTCCACAGGAATTAAACTTGAAGGTATTTAATATCTTTCATCCAGTTCTAAAGCTGGGATGCCTGCCATGCTCTCCATAGACTCTCCATTTATTGAAACAAAGTGGTGTTTCTTTTCCCAGCTGAAGGGGGTGGGGTGGGTAGAGGTAGGGCATTTCTTTCACATCCTTGTTCTCTAGTATAGCCGGGTGGGGTATAACGTTATAAAAAGTTACCTTTCCTTGAAGCTTCACTTGTTGAAGCTTGCTTGTTGTTACTGAAAAATGTTCTTGAATAACCCAAATGAGGTCTGCTGGTAGTTTGAATTTCAGCTTTTCTCTAAGAATCAATTACATTTTCCAATTCTTCCATACGTGTTTTTGAGTAAGCTGCCTGTTTAATAAGTTTACTGTTACTATAAAAAAAAAAAAGTTGTCTTTTAAAGTCTGGTAATTCTTTACAGCTTTATTTTAGACAGTTTAAGAACCAATGACATACCTCTGTAATAATGATAAAGGAAAGAATTCCTCTTAGGAAAACAAAGAGCACAAAATAAGACTATTTCATTGTACATAATCACCACAAGGTTAGGCACTCTGACAGGGTTAGGCAAGATTCCTGGTGTGAAGTGAGGCACAGGCACTTTCATTTATAGAGTGCTGCTGATTCTAATTTTGAAGGTAGGTGTTATAAAAGTCTTTTTAAATAACTTACTCATCACCTTATATTTCTGGCCCCAACACAGCAGCCTATATTTTAACAGTTCTGTTTCTCCCTGGTCTTTGTTCATATACACATTGAAAGTTACTTACAAGTAAGAACCCAAGGCAGGGGACATACTTCAATGTTATGAGGAGATCTCATTTTAACATTTAGATAAGTAGGCAGAATATAAGAAAATGTATTCTTACCTCTGCTAGAAATAAAAAGGAAAAACACCCCAACCCTGCATAGATACTTTTATAAAAATACAGCTGTTAAACTGCAGGCTTTCATACACCACATCTGAAAAGTATTTAAATTAGTAGTTGCATAAATGAACACCAAAATCTTACTCTTTAATTATTACTTATGATCAGTCTTTCAAGTATTTAGACTATTCTGGAAGGCTTTACGCAGTTGACATACAGTGGTGATGATGATAGATTAAATATGTGACACACAAAGCCTGAAACTTGACATTGGTCACTAAAACAAAAACTGAATTCCTAAATCCAAGCAATCAAAAGATGTTTATTTTTATAGAAAGATCTGTAAAAAAATAATTTTTCAAACAGCTTTACTTTCATAGAGAAAACTTTCTACAGAGGTTGAGTAAGATTTTAATATTTTAAATTGTACCATCATTAAATAAGGTGGGACACCATATGAATTTCATTGCACTGGAAGAAATGCAAAGCATTTTTTAATATAAAGTATACAGAGCATTCTAGTCAACTACAGCTGTGTTACAGCTATGTGTTCTTTTGGATTTGGTCCAAAGAAACCTGAGTCTGTTGCCAGAGAGAATGAAAAATATTATAGACACCTGATCAGTTACTCCTCACTGAAGGAAGCACACAAATGGCATTCCTTGTAGATCCCAGTGAATCCCAGTTTCCCAACACTGATACTTTCCCTTTCCCCTTCCCCAACCCCAGTTCACTTTGGGTTCCAGGTTCAGTTCTTGAATCACAGGCATCCATATTTTCATCACAAACATACACATCCCATGGTAAAATGAACTACCCAGTTTTCCAGTATGTCATCACCTTTTCTGTTCCCAGATCTCGGCCATATTTAGGTCCAAATCTTTAAGGCCTTTTAAGGCTTGAAGATTTCCAGTGTAAAAAGCTACATCTGCTGTGACCAACCTAAACATTGGAAAGAAAATTATTTTTAATCTCATGTTTTCTTTTCAAATAAAGTAGCAATGCTCACAGAGTAATCTGAGTCCTATCCTAGCTGCTAGACTATGATTTAAAATTTGGACCAAATGTCAATATATTTCTCTCAGCATGATTCCTACTATCTTATAGTTAGATCATTTAATGTTCACTCTTTCAACAGTGTTGTTTTGAAAAGGAATAAACCAATGCAGGTTGGACTGTTTCATAATTAATTCTGCCCAATAAAATAAATTTATCTTAGAACAGTATGAAATAGAGAAAAATAACAAGTTAAACTTTTCTTTTTTTGATCAGCTGTCACTAGAATAGAGTATACATGTATATGACTGTTGAACTCAAGGAAAAGACAGACAAGGTTTCCTGAATGCCATCCTAAGAAGTTAAATGAAGGCTGGGACTCATGTGTTAAGTACTGCTGGATACAAAACTTGCTATTGACGATGTAACAATACTTGACAAAAAGAATTATACTTTTAAGTATTTAGCTGTCACATTAATCCCTATCCTTGAAAAAACACTCCTGGAAAGAATGCTCAGATGATAAACAGATACCAAAGCTCCACACACAAAAAGTAGGGGCTGGTCTGATTAGACGTGTACGTTGACAGATTTGGCCCATGGAGAAACAAATAGGAGATCTTGATTTAGTAGTTTGTAAAAGAAGAGGAAATGCAGCTTTGATACTTTAAAGAGCATGTAAGTTCTGGATTGCTGGACCACAAGGGGGCAAAGGTATTTTAAGCACCCTTAATATATGTATGAGTCTAATTTATAAATACATTCATACTTATGTACTTAATGTTTCAGCTTTTGTCACATGGCAGAATTCAGTAAGGACCATATTTTTGTTTGAAACTCATCTGGGTCAAGGTGCTTTAAAATCCATAAAAAGTCTAAATTAGTAAGTATGCTGAAACTGACAGCAATGGCTCAAAAAAGAACAAAGTCTTAAGGCAAGACTCCCACATGAAAAATTAAACGAAATTAACAGAAATCTCCATTTTAAAATATCAAGTCAACTATTTACAGTCTATACAAGATAGTACATAGAAAATATATATTTTACATCAAAGTTGAAAATATTTGATAAAAGAACGTAAAAGAAAAGCAGATATTTGCAATATATATAACCAATGAAGGATCAGTTTGAGGTCATATGCAAAAATCTAAAATCAGCAAGAAAAAGATAATACCCAAGATAAAAAATGGGTGAAGAATATGAAAAGTCACAGATGAGAACACCTGAATGACAAATACGTGAAAAGATGACAAACATTAGGAAATGCAAATCAAAACAAAATACCACTGTATCCCATTAGACTGGCAACAATTTAAAAAATCTAACAGCAAATGTTGGCAAGATGTGGAATAAAGGTGGGCATATAAACTTGGTATAGCCACTTTGGAGAAAATTCTGGCAAAACCTAGTAGAGTGAAAACGTACATGTGATCCACTTCTATGTACCTACCCTAAAATGATCACACCATTACACATGTATAAGGAAAGATCTTCACTGTGGCATGATTGTAATGGAAGAAAGTAATGACCTAAAATCGATCACCAGGTGAAATGGAAACATTAAATATGGTTGATTCATGTGGGAGAATGCAATAAAGCAATCAAAAATGGACAATTTCTATATATCAACATAAACAATGTTGAGTGGAAAAAAGCAAGCAGCATATGTACAATATACCATGTAAGTAAATTAAATTCATAAAACAGCTCCACATTTTTTTTTTTAGATAAAGAGACAATAAATGAGAAGGACTTAAAGGATATAGATCAGATTTACTAGAAACATTGCCTAAGGGCTGGAGGAAAGAGAAAAGGACTGGAGATGGGGTCAAGGGGTACTTAAGCTCCATTTGGAATGCCATTTTTAAAAAAAATGATGAACATTTTTTTTTCCAAGTGAAAATGACAAATGTTAATAATGATCAATTCTAAGTAACAGGAATATAATATTCTCCATATGTCTATTTTAAAAATATCTTAAAATAGAGAAAAAAATCACATTAAAAAAAAGTGCAGGATGGGGGAGAAGAAGGAATAGGGAGCAACTGCTTAATGGGTCTGGGATTTCCTCTTGTGGTAGTAAAATGTTTGGAACTAGACAGGGCTGGCAGTTGCACCCAGGTGGTGGCTGCGAAGGCACTAGGACCACTGAATGGTTAACTATAAAATGGTTGATTTTATGTTATGTGAATTTCACCTCGAAAAAAAAAAAGGTAAAATTTTAGAGCCATTTCAGGAACAAAAGTTCCTTTTAAGCAGGTAGTTTATTATGTCTTTGGCTAGAGTCTAGAGAGAAATTTTCAGGGAATTCTATCTTTCAAGTGATCGCTCAAAGACATAGTTTGACTTACACAGTATTAGTGTCTTTAAAAGTATGTGACAACAAAGATCTCTAAGGTGGTACCAACCCCCAAATAGCTTTATTAACAAAGAAAATAATAGGTGATGAATTAACTTGGATGCTTCAGAACTACTGGTCTGAGAAAAACCAACCTGCGAGATTTAGTTACGTGAATAAAAGTAGAAAAGTATGAGTGTAATGGGCCTTTAATTAGCTTTTTATGAATAGTTTCTGAGAGGTATTTGATATTTGTTATACTGTCTTTGAACTTTTCTGTGGCTTTGAAATTTCTGAAAATAAATCTTTAAAAAAAAAAAAAGAACCAGGTAATAATCAAAAGAGAATCAGATTTTTGCATAAAACTCTTAAATTCAGCCTGGCTGACAAATTCAGCAGTTTGAAGCTTCCAAATTGTTTTGTGCAAAATCAATTCATTGTACTCTCCAACAACACAGGTTTGAACTGCGTGGGTTCACTTATACGCAGATTTTTAAAAACAGTAAATACTAGAGCATTACATGATCTGCAGCTGGTTGAATCTGTGGATGTGGAATTGTTGATACAGAGGAGCCCTGTATATGGAGGGCCAGCTCCCTAAGTTATACTCAGATTGTCAACTGCTGGAGGGTCGGCACCTCCAACCCCCACCCCATCCCCCTCTTGCTCAAGGGCCAGCTGTACTTCTTTTCTTTTTAAGGGTAGGGCCAACTTCTGACTCCAAAAGATGTTTTTTATATTTGTTCCTATAAGTTTGAAACTTAAGCCTAAAATTCCTTTAAAAGGGAACAAAATATTCTACTCTTAAAAATCCATGGAACAGGTAACACACTACAGAAATCATATAAAGGTGTACCTACATGATCAGCGTTTTGCACTTTGTATAATCTTTAAATCCATATCTTTATCTACATTGCTCTTAACAAAAATTCTGTGACAGGACTTTTTATCATCCCTATTTTAAAATCTAAGAATATTAAGATCCAGGGTAAGTGATTTGCCCAGTTATAGAGCTAGTAAGTGGCAGAACTTAACCCGTTTTCTGATTCTAAATCTATTTCGCCAATAATACATATAATTTGTTCAACGGCTTACAATAAAATATGTATACACTTATTTTTTGTAACCCTGTGAAGGAATTAAGGCAGATTTTATGGTTCTCATTTGATAAATAAGGCACAAAGGTTAAGTGACTTTCTCACAGTCATACAAAGTAGGACTTTGAGTTCTGTCTGGATAGGTGAAGACTACTGGGTGACTTAAGGAGGTGCTACTAATGTACACTGCCTCAAAATGGACATATAAGGTCAGTTAACTAATTCACCATCTATAAAACACTTTAACACAGATAGATAGATATAGATATAGATATAGATATACATCACCTCCACAGAGGGAAAAAAAGGCAAAAGTCTGCTGATTTTACAGTCTGGGGCCCTGGCAAGATTATAGTGGAAAAGGACAGCATAATGAATAAAAACCAATCAAACAGTTCAATATGGGAGTACGGGGTAAAAACATATTGAAAACATACCCATTTTGAGGTCCTCCATCATTTATCACATTTAAGTGAGACAATTGCTTTTTCAAGTGGAGTTTGTAACTTGCATTAATTCTTAAAAATAACATCTGGAAAAGAAATAAAACTCAGTTTCTTAAAGCTCTATTGACATAGAAGACGTAAGTAAGTAATCACTATTATTTGCAGAAAAATTTTAAAAACCTTTTGCTTTGGCATATACTTTTAAAATGCTCCTCTGAAAGTATTTAATTGCTATTTCAGTATAGTTTGTCTCCTTAGTTGGATAAAAGCTCTTTTTGCTCTTTTCAGTAGTACTTATTTTAGTGATATGACTTATCACTGCCTTTTGCCCCTTAGTAGAAATCCTCTGGCATGTGTAAATGGGATCAACCATACAGGTGAAAAGAATAAAAAGAGACGGAGAATTCTGCAATGTATCGATATTAACTAGGAACTTGATAGAGAAAAAAGTCACAATGGTAAAGGCAAGGCTACCGTTATCCTTCCCAATTACTTGGAAGTATTTTATTGCTTCACATGCAGATTTTTAATGCAATACTTCTTTGGGAAATGCCTGACCTGAAATTATATACAATTAATCTATGGAAACAATTTTGTGAAATATATTTCCCATGGGAAAAAATATATAAAGTCATCTATGGAAAAGTTTTATGGAATTACTCGTACTCAAGTGACAATAATGACATAAATCTATAATTTGTGCCCAGCTTGACAAGAGTTCCCTTTAAATGATGATGCAGATAAAAATACATGAAATACCTATATACCCAGCTCCTGGACCTGGCTAAGCCTTGTTCTAGAATTAGAACTCAAATGGCAAATCCAGAAGGTCAGAATGTCAGAGGTGGGGGATCTTACATGTGGAATGAAAAGGATGGCTTGGCTAGGAAGACTGAGAAAGGAAGAAGAGACCCTAGTGGGTGCTCCACATCTCAAGCCTCCTCCTCAGTCCTCAGAGAGCCCCAAAGGCACTGGATGATATTTAATCATAAAGATGGTATGATTAATGAAAACTTAGGGAAACATGAAAAAATGGTAATAGCTAGTATAGGATGGAAGTCTGAGGTGGCATGGGAAAGGAGACCAGCAGGCGCAAGAGCAGGGAAGAGACACTGAAAAAGCTACTCTCTGCTCCCAAATACCATTTCCAAGCACTCAACCAATTCAAGACAAACTGAAATATTGATAAGAAACTTGTCTAAATAGCAAAAATCCCAGTGAAAACTAAGATCATTAGTCATGTAACAACTAGTTTTGTACTAATTATAACATATCAATCAATTAGACTTGAATGAGATCACCTGGTATAAAGGGAACAAACTAAGGTGGGTAAAGAAGACCAGAAGAAAAGAAGTACTGGAAACTTTAAAGTACTAGGCGAGGGAATCGAGGGAAGTCACGGGTAGGAATGTCACCGAAAAGTGAAGAGAATTCTGGTAATAGTGTAGGGAAGACAGTAGAGACAGAGGGTGGATACTTCAAAAGTAAGAGGTGCCAAAGACTACCCATTTTGCTATTTTTCCTGATCTGTGCCTACTACACATCACTTATGCTGATCTAACAAATATTAATGTTAAGGCATATTGATTGTTACTTTATATGTCATCTCATTATTAAGTCCATCACTAATTCCTCCCCTATCCAATTTGGATTATAATCACAGTGAGTAACATATTCTACTATTCACTGATAAATGCTAATCCTGATTTTCAAACTAATAATGTAATAAATGATGTCAGTAGAATCTGGGACCTCTGATGACCCAATGAACAAATGAAAATCTGCTTTTTAGAATGGCTGACTACACAGCAAAGCTACTATTGCTCTGGCCTGTCAGGGCAAGGAGCACTTTGAAATCAAGTCAATATAACAACTGGAAAAAATAACAATAATCATACTGGAATACGAACTAAGCTTAACTGTGCCAAAAGTACATAATAAAAACACTCCAATTCTGCATGCATATTATGTTATATATAATAGTTTTAGGAATTACTACTTACTTGTGTTTGTTCTTCTGGAAGGAGATCAAATATAGCTTCATGCATTTTTGCCATTTGCTTACAAATATTCCTGAAACAGGCAGAAGGAACGGGAGCTTTCACTTCATACTGGCAGGGAAAAATAATGAGAATTATATTCATGTCCTCTGGATTGCATATTGTCCCCACTGTTCTCTAAAACATATATTTTCTGCCCCTACACATCTAACTCTTCAACTGTGATCTGTGCTACTCATGCAAATCTCAAAAACTTTTCATTAAAAAGCTTAATCTATTTTGAGAGAACCAGCATAATATAGTGGCTAAGAACATAGGTGGCTTCCCTTCTTAAGATGGACTGCTTGGGTTCAAATCCCAACTCTTAAAATTCTTAGCTATGTGAGATGGGGTGAGTTACTTCTCTATATTGGGTGAGATATTTCTCTATATCTCAAAGGGCATGCTGGGAGGATTTTAAAAGATGGCTCATAAGAACTCAAACCAGTGCTTGATACCAAGTAGGTACTCAAAAAATGTTAGCTACTATTGTGGCTTAATATACGATAATGAATCATTAAAGTAGGCCCTCCAAATTAACAGATTATTTTTTAAACATGATTTTAAGAATGTGTTCAACATGATCATATCTGAAATCAATATAACTGGTAGAATTAAAATGTTCTTTTTCTTGGTAGGTGGGCCAATATAGTAATCATATTTACCCTAAGGTTAAGAGAAGACTTTTTCAGGCTTCCCTGGTGGCACACTGGTTAAGACTCCACCTGCCAATGCAGGGGACACAGGTTCGAGCCCTGGTCCGGGAAGATCCCACATGCCATGGAGCAGCCTGTGCACCACAACTACTGAGCCTGCGCTCTAGAGTCCATGAGCCACAACTACTGAAGCCCGCACGCCTAGAGCCCATGCCCGGCAATAAGAGGAGCCACCACAATGAGAAGCCCGTGCACCGCAACGAAGAGTAGCCCCTGCTCGCCACAACTAGAGAAAGCCTGAGCGTAGCAATGAAGACCCAATGTAGCCAAAAATAATAAATAAAATAAATAAATTTAAAATAGTAATAATAATAATAAAGAGAAGACTTTTTCAATGATCTATACGGAAAACTTTAAATTAGGTAAATTCACTTACTGTTCTTACGTCTGGAACAGTATACTGATATGATTTAGATAATCACCTTTTAGCCCACATTTTAGAATTCACAGCTTAAATTATATATCATTTTCATTTATAAGACAAATTTGGGCTAAATAATTATATTTTAGATGCACTAATCTTATATAGTTTATTAAAATGATGAGTTCCAATATACTGCTGCAGCAGAACCATGTGGAAGTCACCGTGTGACTGGACCAAGCAAAGTCGTGACCACTCAAGGGTGTGTCTCTCTTCAGCTTAGAGTTATATCAAACATCCTCTTATCTTCTTTATTAATAACAGCTTTAAGATATAATTCACATACCATAAAATTCACCCCTTTAAAGTGTACAATTAACTTTTTTTAGTAAACTCTTATACAACCATCACAACTAATTCCCAAACATTTTCATCACCCCAAGAAGAAACCCCATACCCATTAGCAGGCACACCCCGTTCCCCCCTCCCCTCAGCCCCTGGCAACTACTACTCTCTAGAAATGGAATCATACAATCTGTGGCTTTTTGTGACTGGCTTCTTTCACTTAGCATGCTTTCAAGGTTCATCAATGTTGCAGTATGTGTCAGTACCTCATCTTTTTTATGGCTGCATGATATTCCATTGCATGAATATACCATAGTTTATCCAATCAGCAATTAACGGACATTTGGGTTATTTCTACTTTTTGGCTATTATGAATAATAATGCCATGAACATTCATGTACAGATTTCTGTGTAGACAAATGTTATCAATTCTCTTGGGTATATACCCAGAAGTGGAATTACTGGATCATATGGTAACTCCATGTTCAACCTTTTGAGGAAATGTCAAAATGTTTTCCACAGTGGCTGTACCACTTTACAATCCCACCCAGCAGCCTATAAGGGTTCCAATTTCTCCATATCCTCACCAACACTTGTTATTGTCTTTTTTATTTTAGTATCCTACTGTGGTAATATCCCCTTATCTTAACTGTCCCCCTGTCCTGGGTTGAATAATATCTTCTCCAAATTCATGTTCACTTAGAGCTTCTTAAGGTCATAGTGGATTAGAGTGGGTCCTAAATCCACTGACTGGTGTTTTTATAAAAGAAAGGAGAGGGAAATTTAGACACAGAGACACACAGAGGGAAGATGACCACGTGAAGACAGAGGCAGAGATTGAAGTGATGCATCTACAAGCCAAGTAATGCCAACAACTGATAGCAAGCACCTGAAGCTAGAAAGGGGCAGGGAAGGATTCTTAGAGCCTTCAGAGGGAGCATGGTCTAGGGACACTCTATCCTCCAGAACTACAAGAGAATAAATTTTTGTGTTATAAGCCACTCAGTCTGTGGGAATCTGTTATGGCAGCCCCAGGAAACTAGCACACCCCCAAAACCTTCCTTCATCACTGCTTTCCCTCAAGATACTATCCTTTCCATCTGACCTTCACCACACGTTTCTTCAATCACTTAAACTTGATACTGTACTTCTTTATTCCACACTATATAAAAAAATCAACTAAAAATGGATCATGGACTTATATATAAAACCTAAAACAATAGTGCTTCTAGAAGAAAACACTGGAAATTATCTTTGTAACTTGGGTGACAAAAAGTTATTGGGATAAGACACAAGAAGCATGAATAATAAAAGAAAAAACTGATAAACCGGAGTTCACCAAAGTTAAAAATTGCTCTTTTTAAGACACTTAAGAAAATGAAAAGGTAAGCCATAGACTGGGAGAAAATACTTACTTGATAAAGGACTTGTATCTAGGATATATAAAGAACTCTTTTCTTAAAGAACTCTTAAAACTCAATAAGAAGATAACCCAATTTTTAAAATGAGCAAAAAAAATTTGAACATTTTTCCAGAGAAAAAGTATGGATGGCAAACTAACACATGAAAAGATACTCAACATGTTCGTCATTATATAAATTAAAACCACAATGAGATATCACTCAATACAGACCTACTAGAAGACTAACATTAAAAAACAGAGAGACAATAGAAAGTGCTGGTGAAGATAAAGAGTACCTAGAGCTCTTGTACATCACAAGTAGAATATAAAATTGTATAGTCACTTTGGAAAATAATTTGGCAGTCTTACATTTCCATGCCACCATCAATATATTCCAAGGTATTTACACAAAAGAAATGAAAACACATGTCCACACAAAGATGTGCCCATGAATGTATATAGTGGCATTATTCATAACAGCCAGAAACTGAAGAAAACCCAAACATCTATCAATTGATGAATGGATAAACAAATAGTAGTACATCCATACAATCGATATCACTCTATAATAACAATGAACAAGCCATTAACACCTGCTATAACATCCATGAATTTCAAAAGCGTTGGGCTAAATGAAAGGAACCTAGGACAAAAGGTTACATTCTGTATAATTCCATTTATAGGATATTCTGGAAAAGGCAAAACTATATGGAAGAAAATCAGATCAGTGGTTGTCATGGTTTGGGGATGTCGGGAAAAGGATTAACTGCAAAAATGCCAACAGTGATGGAATTGTTCTATATCTTGATTGTGGTAGTTCTACTACATATACATGTCAATATCCATCAAATTATATACTTAGAAAGGATGAATTTTACTGAATGTAAATTATACCTCCATAAACTTGCCTTAAATTGCTTAGCTTTCCACTGATAGTCAAAGCTTTCCACTATCTTTCCAACATATCTCCCACTCCTGGGTTTACCCACCCTAATACATTAGCTAAATGGAATTACTTACCTTTGTTATTATTAATAACAACAGCAAAAGCATTAGCAGTCAACATTTATTGGAACTGGCTATAGTCAGATACATGATAAAAGAAAAGTGCTCCACATATATTATCTCATAAATCTTCACTACAAGTTTATGAGGCTTTATTATTATCCTCATTTAGAGATAGGAACCGAGGCTTAAGGAGATTAATAATTTGCCCAAGGTTCTTCAGTGACTAATGTGTGACAAACAATGGAATTTGAATTTAGGTCTACCTGACTCCAAAACCCAACACTAAACTTCCTTCTTAGGATTCCTACCAACATGTCTGTTCATGCTGTTAACTCAGAGTATCTCTTCGCCTCAACTTCATTTGCTCTAATTGTATCTATCTTTAAAATCAAAACTTATATGCATCCCTCATCCATAAAGCTTTCCCAGATCTCCCTCCCCAGCTAACAACCATCTCTTTCAAAACATTAAAAGCTCCAATAGCACTGAACCGATTCCCTACTTATGATACTTTAATCTACCTCCTGTTATAGTTATTGATATAATTATCCTACTAGATATTTTACTATATGAGGACAAGATCAAAGGCTTCTTCACCCTTGTGTATCACTGTTAACCTAACACGATTTAACTCAATGAATGAATGAATGGTGGCTGGACATTAGTCTAGCCAGTAGTACAATTAGATGTTAATGTTTCACTCTACCCAAGGAAAGGTACCCTTGTTTATTAGCTTCTTATAATCAGCATATATTTTATTACTGTGTTATTCTTCTTTCCCCAAATTAAAATTCCTGATAAGAAAATGAAAAGCTAAAAATTGAGAGACTAACCCAAATCAAACACTGTCTGCTATTTTGGTGTGAATTAAAAACAGGGCCAAACTCCTGGGCAACCCATGGAAGCAAGTAGGGCAGGGAGTGGTAAAGAGAGACTTGATAATACAGGGAAAATGTAACATGTCAGGGTAACAGGAAAAGTCATCAGTGAGGAAGGTAGCAGAGAAAACGCTAAGTTGCAAATGTCTAGGCACACTCTTGACATTAAAAAAATGACATAAAAAATGGGGAGGGAGGTGTTTGAAATTTATAAAAGAGTTAAGAGACATAATAACCAAATGCAATATGTAATTTTGTTAGGTGTGATATAGTAGTGTGATTATATAAAAAAGTATCCCTCCCTAGTTTTTAGAAATATACACCCAAGTATTTAGGGATGAAATATTACAGTGCCTCAAATTAACTATAAAATATTTTAGCAAAAAAAGAAAAATGTTAATGACTGTTAAATATAGGTGATAAATATATGGGAAGCTCATTAAATAATTTTCTTTATTTTTCTTTACCAAAAAGAAAGAAAAAGAGAAAAAAGAATGCAATGAATTGTCACAGGAAAAAGTCTAGCCATAGTCCCAATTCTTGTTCATAGACTTTGGATGACCAACATGATAGAAAAAAGTCAAGGTTTTAAGAGTACCAGCACTTTTTTGGTTTTGCTTCATTCTATTCCCCAGCTTATTTCTAGTTTCACTATTTAACATTTACCTTACTCTACATTATTAGGTGTTAAGTCCTCTGCCTTGTTAGATGATAAACTTCTTGAGGGTCACAGTGCATTATTCATTGACTTTTGGTACACAGAAGAATGTCATGTATCAAAAAGGAAACTGGTGGAGTAGAACTGCTTTTGCATTTAGCTTGTACTTGGCAACCATGAAGAAAAAAGAGAATTTCTAACCAATAATTTTTCTCCATCCAAAACTAGAAACTTAGAAGGCATAACATAACATAGGTATGTTTGCACATAACTATAAATTCCTTAAGCTTCTTAAAAGAAAAGCATAAAACATCTATACTATAAACTAACTACGTCAGAGGTTCTCAAAGTGTGGTGTGGGAACACCTGGGAGTCAGAGGCTCTTTCAGGGAATATGTGAGGTAAAAACCATTTTCATAATAATAATAAGATTAGTATTATTCACTTGCGGTCTCTCATGATTGAATGGTGGGGATTTTTAGATGACCTGTGATGTCATTCTGAAGGCTAATCAAATGTGTGTTTATGAATTCTTGTGTTTTAAATTTTTTTTTAGTTTTAATTTCTAATATGGTACTTACTGATAAGTATATTTGCATAAAAAAAGCTCTTTGGGGTCCTCAATTATTCTTAAGAATGTAAAGGGGGTCCTATGATCAAAATGTTTGAGAACTTAACATTAAACAAATGCAATCTTATTTTCCAATCACTCCTTCTCACTGTCAACTTCAAAGATTTGGGTGTGAATGGGCACCACTTTATCTTGCCTTTTTATAATTTTTATGTGCCTGCTGCTCTTGCCATCTCAGAATCTGAAGGATCCAAGTAGAAGGAAAAGCATATCAAAGGGTCTTGCTTTATAAGATTACTCTAAAAATACTCTGGGGCAAAAGTATAAACTAAATAAACCTTCAAACTTTCAAGGTATGAGATTTCTGCTTTCTCTCTAAGACATGTACTGAATAATTTAGGGAAAGGAAAGAGTGAGGGATAGGGCAAAAGTGACTAGGGCTAATTAAGTGACATTTTTCTGAAGATACCCTCCCAGTGCAATTAAGAATTTTTTGGAAAACAGTTCTCCTTTTAATGACCTATGTGGAATGGGAAGCAAATAAGAAACAAGTACTGAAATTGAATATCTATGACGGAAATAAGAGAGCACCTCAGGCTCTGCCTTCTTGGCCTGGAAAATAAAATAACACTTTACTACAAATAATTTAATGTTTATTTTCTCAATTCTGTCTCTGGAAGGCTTTCAGACTAAAATACGCTTTGAAGATACATAATTTTCAATGCAGCTAATATAAAATTACTTCTATATAGGGTTTCTATCATCCTTGAAATCATCTTCCCCCACCCCTACCCCCAAGTTCCTTAGGAAATGAATATCACCTATTTGGGTGATCTGAACATTTGAGTTTTTCCCTAAACCCGGAACAATTTTGATTTGTTAGACAACTGTGAAAAGTCACAACGCTTTCAAGCAAAGCCTAATAATTTCCGTAAATTATTACCTTAGATAACAGCTTGTCAAATAAGCTATCCATTATCGCTACAAGCTTAGCTGATATTTCAGCTATGTGGTCATGGTAGTCCTGTAATGAGAAATAACGTTATATTTTAAAGTCCCTGGGACACATCTAAAATACTTAACAATTATGGAGTTAAATTTATGAAACTCCAGTAGAAAATACATGGAAAGGTACCTTAGTGATATGATCAAAATGCCTAAGCATACTATACTGCTTAGGCTGCAGTCGAGCTTCAAAATGAGCCCTGATCACAGGAATGTAGTGCACGATTAACTGCAAACAGCGTGAAGAAAGAGCTGAAGATCCGGGAGGTAGACATATCGTGGAGAAAAAAAAAGGTATTAGCTGATATTTAAGGTATTTAATTACCTATCAAATTATGTAAAAGGTATCAATTAATTTTATACAGACCCCAGTTTATTACATAAATGAAGAACACAGTAACAGAAAGCAACATATTTCATATTTTTTGTTTAAGAAAATCAGTTGGTACTGAATGATGTAATGAATTATGCTGCTTTTCCAATGGACTCAAGTTGTGAGTAGTACTGGCATGAGGAAGCTAATGGGACAACGGATTCTCTTCTGACATTCAGATACCTTTCACCCCATATATACATACGTACTTCATACATATTACATTTTAACATTTTTTTTTACAGTAGTGCAACTTTCTAGTAACTTATATTTATTGGAGTGAAAATTCCTCATAACATTTCTCCAGAAGTTACTTTTCAGTTATGGCAATACATAAGAAAGTGACATTGCTACTTTTAGAGGCTTTAGTTAGAGGCATAAAAACATCAGGTATAATGAAACATAAGTATAGTGACATCACTGTAATGCCTCAGCATGTGAATTAAATGCAAAAATCCATACCCAAATTTTTTGTAGTTATTGTTTTTAGTCCAACAACTTGCAGTGCACCAGCTCCAAGAACTAACTGGCAACTTCTTGAATTGAAGTACTAACAAAGGAAGAAAAAAAAACCCAACAATTTATTAAAAACTATTCTTTATATGCTGGCAATGTGTTAATTCTAAAAATACATTCCTCTTTCCTCTCATTGAAGGACCAAATGAGTTTTTCTACTAGGAGCAATTAGGATCTGTTTATGTAATGACAAAAAAAAAAAAAAAAAAAAAAAAAAAGGCAAAGGGTGTTCCCAAATGATAATATTTACAGTCTGGTAGGGAAAAAGTTGAAAAATTCTAAAAATCAGTTGTTCAGAAATTAATCTTTAATTGGCATTCACAAAACTAGTTGTTTCGGTCATTCTAATTGGATAGTCCTACTTTCGAAAGGGTAACAAAATCTTTCTGGACTAAAATATGACAACTTAATTTTGGGACAGAATTAATTGATAGATTAGGTATTTGAAAAAAATAAAGCCTTTTCTCTAGGCTAGCAGTTTAAAATATCTGTTAATATGAAATGGCTGAATAACACTATCACCACAGTTTCATTTTACATCAATGGTTCTGAAATAATGATTTAAGAAAAATCTCTAACCTTAGTGAGATGAATTTTGTAAAGTTCAGTGAATTCCTTCCATGCACATTTGAAACCAGTCCAGGTTTTTTGACCTAAGTGGCCTCAGTCATGTTCAGCACCTAACGAACAAATCATCTCCTGTCTCCGATATCATTAACAACTCTATGGGTGTAATGAGGAATCACTAAATGTGGAGTGAGAAGGAAGCAGGTGGCCTCCTTCAAATAACATGTTGTGTTCAACCACAATCAAATGTCACAAAATTAATGTCTTAAAGATAGCTTAACCTCGAAATGTCTTAGAGTTGGAAGATTACTCACGCCCTAATGAATTACTTCTTCCAACTATTTTTTCCATAGGAGTGAAATCATACACACCTTCAATAAATCTGATAGACGAGTGAGCATGTCAGTAGTAACAGATGGGATATTATCCACACACTGGCAATATTCAAGGATAATTCTTATCAACAGCAATACGGTTCTACAAAAAAAGAAAGATGACCCAGTAGACACTCAAAACAAGAAAAATCAAACTGATTTGGCATATAAAAATCAATATTGATCTTGGTAACTGTTAAATTATGTATTTTACCTATAAGTGCAACAGAGTAGGGACTTAGGGTAAGGCAACAGAAAATCCTAGAGTGTAAAATTAAGGAGGAACTCAATTTCAGGGTTGTGCAATTGCAAGGTAATCACTTGCATGACACTGAGAAAGGGTACCTCCTTAAATTTTGTGTTGTGAGCACATCACTCTCTGTGTGACAGTCATACTAAGATAAGTCTCTTCCATAAGGCAGGTATCCCATTCCTTGGCCAATTTAGAAACACTGAAAAAAGCTTAACCAGTGTTTCTGATTATGTAGTAGGTCCTCATAAATGTTGAATTAATGAAGGGAACCTAGTCTAGATTTTCTTAGTGAGATGAAAGATAAACTGTGGCTTCTAAGAACAATATACCTTCTAAGAAGTTTATTGGTAAATCTCAAAAGCTTCTCCAAAGATGAGAAAGTTATCAGCTCATTATCAGGACATGTCATAAGCTGAAAAGAGGCACTACTGGGAGGTTAAATAAGGTTGAAACTAAGGGAGAAAGAGCCATTCATTACAGCACATCTAAATTCAATGAGATCCTCAGAAATGAGTGATCCATGTAAACTAATGTTTTATGAAAGTCTGAACAGAGCAGTGATTCAAGAAGAAGAGTATCTAGCCTTTATAACAGCTTAATTGTCAGACCATATATTACTCTCCATGCATAGTTCTAGAGTCTGCTTTACTGGGCAGGAGTCCATTGCTTATCTTTTGTAATTTTCTCTCTGAAGATATAATACTCCATCTTTAGCCAGGAAGTTCCGTTTTTTGGCAGAAGCCTCTTTGCCTAAAGAGCAAGAAAGCCAGATAGCTAGAGGGGACCATTTCCATCAAGCAAGGGAAGAGTAATAAGACACAGTCCTTCCTCAGTATCCACAGGGGATTGGTTCCAGGACATCACGTGGATACCAAAAACCATGCATGCTCAAGTCCTTTATATAAAATGGCGTAGTAAAGTCTTCCCTCTATATCCACGGGTTCTGCACCCTGGTTGGTTGGATGTGGAACCCATGGATATAGAGGGTCAACTGCAACGGGTAATTAAGGAAAGAAATCATGATTAGATTGAAGGACTAAGATTATAGGGAGGTTGAAAAAAGCTCTGTCCCACCAGAAATGGAAAAGAACTCCAGAGAAGAAAGGAATGGAAGCTTTACCTTGCAATGGGTGCACTTCAGAGTTTTGGATAATATACAGGTTGAGAAAAAGCATAAATTCTATACACACTATTTGAGTGCTTATTAGGTGCTAAGAAAAATTAAAGTGGTAAGATATGATCCCCATCTTTGAGGAATTCAGAGACTAACCAGAAAGTGCCATGAGAGAGGCACAGAGAGTTACAAAGAGAGGATCATTCATTCTTCCTGGAAGGGATGGCTGTTTCAGAAAAGACTTACTTAGTGACAAGAAACAAAGAAGTGAAAAAGAATTCTGGTATAGATATTGGGAGCTAGATTTTTATTCTAATTCTGGCTCCATTTGGGTAATTTTATATTAACTACTTAAACTTCTAAGCTCCAATTCTCTTAACTGTAGAAAGGGAACAATAATCCCTGAAATGTCTATTGTACAACATGGTTGTAGAGATCAAATGAGATCATATATATGAAAATATTTAAACTATGAAGTGTTATTAAAATTAAAGTATGTGAAGATATTATCTTAACTACCTATTTAATAGAAGGCATATAGTACTAGACAAACAACACTGGAATTTATATTTTTCTTAGTTAACTTGAATTTGAAATACTGTTTTTGGTAAAAGACCTAATGATAAATGATGATAATAGAAATAACTACCAACAACTATCAACTTCTTGTTAGGTACTAGAACTGTGCTAGATTCTTTACATGAATTACCTGTTTAATTTCACAATAATTCTAAGTATAGTACTATTGTTCACATTTTGTTTTATAAATAAGGAAACTGAGGCGCACAGAGTAACTTGCCTAAGGCCACAAAGTAACAGAGCTGCTGGGACTCAAACCTAAGCAGTCTGACTCACAACTTCAACTACTATGCTGTATACTACACACTAAAAAAGTTGCAGGAAAAAATGAAAGAGCTTGAGACACTTATAACATCATGGAGCCACTACAGCACCCTTGGATTATGTACCTCTAGGTTCTTGTTACATGAGAAAAATCAACCAACCCCTTTTTTTGTTAAGCCAGTGTAGTCCTAATGGATACAGAATACTACAAAATATAGAAAAATAAAAAGGAATCCATAAAATTTCTTTAAAATTCTTTGTAAGATTTACAATTGTTAATCCAAAATTTCCAATTCACATCAAGGGGTAGCTAAAAGACCTATGTTTTAAATACTTGATTCAACTAATGAAGAAAAACGTGTCACTCACCCAACAACAGCATACTGTTGTCCCTCGACAATGAGAACTTCAGCTGGTTTCCTTTCTTCTGTAGCTAGAGAGTAAAGCGAATAAAGAGACATGGGTAAAAGATGAAACAAAATATTGGATAAAAAATTTAAACTGGAAAAAACTGAAAAAGTTCCTATTCAGGGCCTGAAACTATCTCATTTCTGCAAATAAATCTACTTCTTGGGAAACAATTCAGCACAAAGTAAATAAAGTATACTGCATTTGGAATCAGAGAAATCTGGATTTGAATTCCAGTACTGCCAATTACTGGATGCAAGACTAGGCCAATTACTTCTTTTGAATCTCAATATCTGTATCCATTAGACATGGACAACAATATCTACCTTTCAGTGTTGTTACTGAAAGAGATAATGCTTATTAACTGGCTATCCTCTAGGTCTGGCACATGGCAGATGATCGATAAGAAGTAAAGGAAAAAGAATGTTATTAGTTGGGAAAGGCAGAACTAGCATTTCAACTGGTTATCTTTTCTTTATTATAACCCTTAGAGTACAATTTAATTCCTAAATTCAATGGAGAGATTATGTATTACTTTTCAAGATTTTAATCCAAAAGTTACTTTATTTTCAGCATGTGGTATTTCTTATCATTAAAAAACAAAATTCAGCATATTGAGGTAAAAAGAACAGTGGACTGGATTACTGCCCTGAATCAGCCAAATTAAACAGATTACCATGCGCAAGTAAGTCATCATGCTTCCCTAAGCTTCAAATCCTTTTGTTCTAAGACATTAAATATCTACTTCCTCATCTCTTTCAAGGAAAGAAATTCAGTGTGATATAATTTCTAATCACAATTCACTCTGTATGTCAGATTGAGTTTTTTGAGGACAGGGGTTGTGTCTTAACCAATTCTCAATACTGCAGAGAAATGGCTTAGCACAGTAGTTAAGAGGAAGGGCCCTAAAGTCAGTCTGCCTGCAGTTGGATCCCAGCTCTACCACTTCCTAGCCAGGTAACCTTAGGCATGTTGCTTAACCTCTTTGTGCCTCAGTTTCCATATTTTTTTAAATGGGAATACTAACAGTGTCTAGCTCATGGATCTGTAAATGAGATAACAATGTAAAGTGCTTAGAAAAAACTGTCTAGTATCAGGTAAGCACCAAATTAATATTAACTGCTATCCATGAAACTTCATCTCCCCAATGCGTAGCTAAGTAGCTAGTAACTCAATAAATAGATGATGGATGCATGAATAATAACCAAGGATCCTTAACTCTGCATGAACTAGTAAAATGTTAATGGATTTCTAATAGCATATCCTTTCTTCTTTCTCAGAGGAAAACAAAAGACAAAAGCAGGGTATATGGACTACCCTGATGGTACATTGGTTAAGAATCCACCTGCCATTGCAGGGGACACTGGTTGGAGCACTAGTCCAGGAAGATCCCACATGCCGTGGAGCAACTAAGCCTGTGCACCACAGCTACTGAGCCTGCTCTCTAGAGCCCACGAGCCACAACTACTGAAGCCCACGTGCCTAGAGCTAGTGCTCTGCAACAAGAGAAGCTACCACAATGAGATGCCTGCACACCACAATGAAGAGTAGCCCCCACTTGCTGCAACTAGAGAAAGCCTGTGCTCAGCAACGAAGACCCAACACAGCCATAAATAAATAAATAAATAAATAAAAATTTATTAAAAACAACAACAACAAAAAACACTTTAAAAATTATTCAAAACTTCATAATTTCAAATCTGGCATTACAGGATGAGTTGTACATAAGTTTATATTATTATTATTATTTTATTTATTTATTTTTGGCAGTACGCGGGCCTCTCACTGTTGTGGCCTCTCCTGTTGCGGAGCACAGGCTCTGGACACGCAGGCTCAGCGGCCATGGCTCACGGGCCCAGCCGCTCCACAGCATGTGGGATCTTCCCGGACCGGGGCACGAACACATGTCCTCTGCATTGGCAGGTGGACTCTCAACCACTGCGCCACCAGGGAAGCCCAAGTTTATATTATTAACCCATGACAACTCCACTTTAACTGATATACAAAAATATCTCTAGCCACTGCATGTCTTTCATAAGAGACCCAATTGACATTTGATACAAATGAAAATCTTCTTGAAACTCTAATTTTTTAACTTCTGTGTTTTTCTGGATTGTCCTACCTCTCTGCCCTTCCTTTGTAGTCTCCTTCATAGTTTTCTTATTCTACAGTTCTTTATATTTTGGTTTTCTCTATCATATCACTACTACATTACTTGTGATTGATAATAAATACATTTTTCATCAGACTTAGACCTTTTAAAGTAAAATTATACCTCTTACCTATGTCTCAACATTTGACACATAGTAGAAGCATACTAGTGTCCAATAAAAGAATACATGTCTCTAAACAATACAGTGCAGTGGTTAAGAACATAACTATGAAATTATATAAAGTTGGTTTCAAATCCCAGATCTTTATTTGTACCAAATTCCTTAACCCCTGGAAGCCTCATGCCTCCTCACTATTAAACAAGGTAACAATAGTATCTTTATTATAGGTTGTTGTCAGGGTAAACTGGAGTAATGCATGTAAAGCACTTGGTCCAGTGTCTGGATATGGTTAATACTCAATAAATATCTGAAATTATTATTAAAAATTACCACATACTTTTCCAATCAACTACTTACTAAGCTGGGAGTGTTAGTTCTAAGCTTCCCAAGAGGCACTATCAATTAAAGAAATATTAAGCACTCCTAAAAAATGAACAAACAATATAAAATTGAAAGAGAGTGTGTGAAAGAGTACACATACCCCCTGATTTTTTTTCAGGTAAAGCAATCTTTCCATCTGCTATAGAATCAACAAGATCCTGAAATTCTGCGGGAACATCAGCTTGCTTCCAGCGTTCATTGTCTAAGAGGAGGCTATTCAAAAGTAAAAAGAAAGGAAGATAAACTTTAATAATATTTCAACACCATCTCCTTGGGTGAAAAGAAAAGGAAGAGCTGAGTGAGTACATAAGACTTTTGTTATATATTTAAGACTACATGTATCTTAGTTAAATTCAAGTAGAGCCCATGCAATACAAGGCACTGAGTTTTTAAATAATAATGGCCATTACCTGTTAGTACGTAAGACTTTAAAAAGTGCTGAACACCTTAATAAACTGAAATCATTCATAAACAGTATGAATAGTTTCAGAAAATGTTTCTCTTTTTATGTCTCTTAGCCTAGTCAGGAAGAGTGGTAAAACATAATTAACTTCACTTTGAGTGGGAAAGGAAAAGTCAGTCTATTAGGATCTTCCTGGTAAGTACTTTAATGGAACTAAACATTCTAACTACACTTTCAAAAGCTAAGAAATGTGATTTTAATTCCACAATCTGTCTTTAATTAAAAAGAAAAAAATCTGTCAGGGGTTTTAACTGGCCAATTAATGAAGTTTCCTCTTTTAAATATAATTGTGTTTTGTAAAGAAAAGGGGAAAAAAATGAAGAACAGAATGGACATGGTAATAATACCTGAGCTTGGTTTTTCTCTCTTCATGAAACCTGTTTACAAATTTATTAGCTTGGCTCTGAAGTGCTCCAAGTAATGACATGCTTTTTCTTCCACAGATCTGTTCAGTTTCTAAAATGAATGTTTCCATTAATCTGGAAAGTGTTATGAATTCTGTGGAATTTAGCTTCTCAAGAAAACCATCCTAAATTTTAAAGATAACACAAAAATCATGAGCGTTAGTATAACACCAAATATGGATGAGCTATAAAACCAACTTAAACAAATATTAATTGTTTTTATAATAGTTGTATTAATTCCTAAAAATTATTTTAAAACAATTTTAAATGAAATTTCCCAATACTTTAGTCCCAGAAATCAAGCATAAAAAGTTTAAGATGTCTAAATTTTATTCTGATCCCTTTGTAATACAGTAGCTCAAATAAATTCAGATCATACTATACAATTTTCATACTATTGGAGTACAACTAATTTTCTTAATAAATTATTTGGCTAGGTATACACATATATGTGTATAAAAACAGCATATTAATTTCAAATTAATTATTAAGGTATTATATTTCAAAATAAGTCTTTTAATCATTTATTTGAAAAGCATGCTTAATTTTTTCTATTTCTTTTATTTGGATTATTTTGCATTTCAACATCTCCTTAATAGACCACACCAGTACCTTATTAAGTGTTCAAAATATGCATTATGTGGAATAGGGACACAAGCAAGGATATATTTCAGATCTTTAAAATAATGTTACTATGTATAAAATATCTAAATTTTATTAAAACAACTAACCTTTGCTCTTGACATGAGAAATTTGACAGCTCGATCATGGCATATATCTGAGGCACTATATAATAACTCCTGGACATTATTTGCCAGCTTTCCCAGCTCTAAGTCAGTTAATTTCATGTCTTCATTGACCCTGAAAATGATAGAAAGAGATTAAGTCAAGGAAAGTTGTGAACACACTGTTCACCATAGATGACATACCAATAAAAAACAAAAAGCTGTAAAATTTACATTTGAGGGAAAATTCTGTGATGTATCATATACTTTTATTTTTGTGGTAGAGCATCACATAAACAAGCTCAGATAACACAAATATATTTTACCCTAATATTATATAAGAATAATTTTCTCTCTCTGCTGTAGTATTTTTAATACTTAGTTCAGACTCTGACTGGAAATTCTGCAAAAACTACAGCAAAAGAAATTCTCATTAGGTACAAGGGCGTAGCTGTGGCAGGTTGTGCACAGGTGCTTAGGATGACATGGTGGAAGCAAGAGGAAAGGAATGGAAAGAAGGAACAAACAGGCCCTCTTTTTACTTATAATTATGAATGACTATTAATAGTCAGATCAACTAAACTAATATTTCCTGAGTATTTACTGTGCTTAACTACTATGCACTGGAGGGAATACTGTTCTCAAGAAACTTACAATTAAATAGGAGTATTTACAATATGTAATGCATCTATTCCAGTTTTGAGGAAGAAATGTAAGACTTCCTGTTTTTTATACATTTTTCCCCAGGGCATGTATAAAGACCACTGATTCTGTGCCAACAAGTCAGTTTAGTGTTATCATGAACCAAGTGAAGTACCTTAGCATAATTTTTCTCCGTTTCAGTTGAATTAAAATAACTTTCAAAGATATTTCAAAGAGGATCTGATGTATATTAATTTGAGGCAAACCACCACTCTCACTGGGTTAAGGTATTAAAGAAAGTTATTACCTGCTATCCTTTAAAGTTATATCATTAAATTTACTTACCAGTGCTTTAAAATAATGGATGGATAAATATTTTTAAAATACTCTCAGATACAGTACCTTGCTTGGTTCTCACACTCTGAAGAAGATAGATAAATTTCTACTTTACAGATGAGGATACTGAATCTTGAAAGTTTAAGTGATCTACTCAAGGTCACAAGGTTAAGAGGGTGGGACTAGAACCCAGAATTAGTCTAATTCTATTTCTAATCTGATAAGCTTCTTCTACTGCAACATTTCCTTCTATATAAACAGTCCAAGTGCTATTTCAATTCCAGCTCCCATAAAACTGTTTGCTTAAATTTCAAAGTTAAAATTTTATTTCAATTGTAAATTCGATTTTCTGAAGGATTTCTAAAATTTGCCCCTAAGTAAGGGAATGATTAAGAATTTGGAACTCTTACCAATACGCCACCAATTCACAAAGATATAAACAGGAAATAGCAAAAAAAAAAAACCAACTTAAGTCTTTAAGAAAGTAGGGTGACAATCCAAAAACCTGGGACGTTTGGTTTTCTAAAAAAATCATTTATTTGTTTGTAATTTTGCTTTTTAAAAAGATTTTTAAAAATTTAAGTCTAATGGATCTCTTTCACGTTACTAGGGAAAAGCAAAAAACAAAACCTCACAAACATGATCCAGTAATTCTACTTCTGGCTATGTACACACAAGAACTGAAAGCAGGATCTCAAAGAGATATATTTGCACACCCATGTTCACAGTAGCACTATTCATAACAGCCAAGAGATGGAAGCAATCCAAGAGTCCACTGACAGATAGATAAAATGTGGTATATACATACAATGGAATATTACTAAGCCTATAAAAAGAAGGAAATTCTGACACATACTACAACATAGATGAACCTTAAACACAATATGCTAAACAAAAGGACAAATACTGTATGATTCCACTTATATGAAGTACCTAGAGTAGTTGAACTCATGGAGACAGAAAGTAGAAGAGTGGTTGCCAGGGGATTGGTAGGGAAGGAAATGGGGAGTTGTTGCTTAATGTGCATAGGATTTCACATTTGCAAGAAGAAAAAGATCTGGAGATTGGTTGTACAACAGTGTGAATATATTTACCACTACTGGACTGTGCACTTAGAAATGGCTAAGAAGGTAAACTTTTTATGTTTTTATTTTAACCACAATTTAATTTAAAATAAAAAATTTTAAAAACCTACAAAACTTTCTAATCCTTTCCATTATTTTTCCTTTCCCATTTCCTGCATGGGAAATTATTTACTCTTTTGTGCCCATGTCTGCATTGGAATAAACTTACAAAGTTGTAGATTATTTTGATAATGTAAGAAAATATGGAAAATCTACCACTAACATAGATAAAAAATCAGACATCATTTCTGCATGTACTGCATCTATGACACAATTACATACTGCAAAAACACTTGATACAAGAAAGAACTAGTTAGGGTCACGTGTATAAATATACTCAATCAATCCATTGCCCCTTGGGGGTGGGTAGTTCCCAGACATTTATGTGCCTATGAAACACAGAAGAAACCACCTACAGAACCTCTGGTATCATGCTATGGGAGCATGCCATTGTGGAAAGCCAGAGAAGCTCCAGACTGTATAGTAAGCCACAATGGAGGTGGGAGGGGAGGGATAAAAACTATGAGGCTGCATTTGATTTAAAGGAATCTCAAATAGTACAGCAGATTTCTAGCTATCTTTTAATATCGTTTCTCACTTCTGCCATAATAGTTTTAGCTATCAAATAGCCAACAAGCTATAGACTATTTCTCAAGCCTCTCTTACAGCTAGATATAGACATGTGATAATATTCTAGCCACTAGGATGTGGGACTGCAAATTCTGAACTGTGCTCTTAAAAAGAAAGAAAGGATAAAACATGAACAAATTTATGTGAAAGCAACAGGGAACTAACAAATCTAAAATGTATATGGATTTGCAACATAAATAGGGCATACTGGAAGAAGAATAAAAGGTAGGAGAAATGACCAGATATTAAGACTAATTAAAAAGCGATCATAGGGTTTCCGTGGTGGCGCAGTGGTTGAGAGTCCGCCTGCCGATGCAGGGGACGCGGGTTCGTGCCCCGGTCAGGGAGGATCCCACATGCCACGGAGCAGCTGGGCCCGTAAGCCATGGCCGCTGAGCCTGCGCGTCCGGAGCCTGTGCTCCGCAACGGGAGAGGCCGCAACAGTGAGAGGCCCGCATACCGCCAAAAAAAAAAAAAAAAAAAAAAGCGATCATAACTAATACAATTTTACTTAATGGTACCGGTGCAAAGCAGACAAGTGAACAAAACAGAATCTAGAAACAGACTCATACATATATGAATATTTAATTTAAGACAAGAGTGGCACTATAGAGCAACGGGTAAGACAGTCTTTTCAATAAATGGTGTGAAGTTAAAAAGATATCCACATGAGGAAAAAGACAACAACCTCACACTATACACAAAAATCAATTCCAGATGGATTGTGGATCTAAATGTGAAAGGGACAGCAACAAAGCTTCCAGAAAAAAACATAAGAGAATATCATCAAAGTCTTAGGTTAGGGAAAGATTTCTTAAATAGGACACACAAAAAAAGCACAAACCATAAAAGGAAAAGATTGAATCATAAGATATTAAAATTAAGAACTTTTATTCACCAAAGACCCCAATAAGAGAGTGAAAAGTCAACCCACAGAGTGGGAGAAGATATCTGCAGTATGGACAACTGACAAAGGGCTGTGTTGGGACTACATAAAGAACTCCCATAAATCAATAAGAAATAAAAGGCAAACCAATAGAGAAGTGGGCAAAGGATTTGAATAGGGCCTTCACAGAAGAGGATATCTAAACAGCCAATAAATATATGAAAAGTGCCCTCTTACCAATCATCAGGGAAATAAAAATTTAAACTACTATACCTGTGACATATCCACCAAAATGTCTAAAATGTAAAAGACTGACAATACCAAGAGCGAATGAAGATGTGGAGTGATAGGAATGCTTCCACACAGCTGATAGGATTGTAAAGGAGTACAACCCTTTGGGAAATTGTTTGGCAGTAGTTAAATTGGCTATTCACAATACTTATTCATTCCTAGGTATATATTCAACAGAAATACTTACGTCATGTACACTGAAGACATCTACAAGAATGTTCACAACAATCAAACTGAAAATAATCCAAATTTCATCAACAACAGAATGATAAATACATTGTGGTGTAGTCAGAAGTGGAATATTTATGCACAAATAAACTACTGCTGCATGCAACTACTTAGAAAAATATCACAAATATAACGTGGAATGAAAGAAATTAAAGACTAAAGAACATGATTCCATTTATGGTTCCATTTATATAAAGTTTAAAACCTGCAAAAACCAATAGTTTTAATGTTTTTTTGGGGGAAAAAGTGAAAGCATAGTGGCAGGGGGGGGCTTCTAGAGAGCTGGTAATGTTCTATCTCTTAACCTTGGTGATTACACCAGGGTGTTCATTTTGTTACAATAAATTGAACTGAACACTTATAACTGGTCCATTTCCCTATATGTGCATCACATTCCAATTAAAAGGTTAAAACAAAACAAAAAAGTAAGGAGAGTACCAGCCTTTGTCCTCTCCTTCCTGCTGCTACAGATTGAAATGAGATGATAAAACCTCCTAAGACACAGAGGGAAGCTACACAATGAGATGGTAGAGCTACCTTCTCAGCTCTGGACCTCCTACCTCTGAATTGTTACAGGAGAGAAACAAAATTCTATATTGTTTAAGCTACAGATGTTTTTACATCTCTTTTAACAGCAGTTTTAGACTGAACCCTAACTAATAAATGTGAAAATATAAGCCAGAACAGAGAAGAAAAAATTTTATTAATATGTAGTTCAGGGTTTGATTGATTGATTTATGGTGGGGAGGGGGAGGTATTATAGCTGACTTTACACTATAACTGCAACCTTTATAAGCTCCTGGGCTATAAGCCGACTTACATCAAAATGAACAAAAGTACTGAATTCTTATTATTCTTAGTAATAACAAAATACAAACAATGTTCTTGGACCAGAAAGATTTTAATGGCTATTTTATTTTTGTTCTTCCTATTCAGAACATTATTGGGACAACTGGTGAACTCTGAATGGGGTCTGTGCATTAGATGGTAATAATGCAGCAATGTTTTCTTGATTTTAATTGGTATACTGTAGTTATTTAAGAGAGTGTTATTGTATTTAGGAAATATACACTGAAGTATTTGGAACATCAAGTCTGCAACCTACTGTCATACGATTGAGAAAAAATTTTAACATGAGAGACAAAGAAAGGAGAGACGAAAAGAGAGTGAGAAAGAGAGAGGAAGGGAGAAAGAGGGCAATGTGGTAAACCATTAACTGGGGAAGCAAGGTGAAGGATATATGAGAGTTTTTTGTACAATGCTGACAACTTTTCTGTAAATTTGAAATTATTTCAAAATAAGTTTAAAAAAGTAATATTAAAAAAGATAGTGTGACCCACTTGGAAATTCATGTCTGAAAAACTGAAAATTGTAACTCAAACAGATTTTCACTATATACAAAATACAAAGGTGACATAGTAAAAGAAAGAAACATAACCAAGGAAATACTGACCTGAGTTCCAGGACAGGTTCTGCCACTAATGACTCTAAATAAGTCATCTAAACTCTCCAAATTAAGGGCATTTAATTAAATGGTTCCTTCCCAGCCTTAAAATTCTACAATTCTCAATTACTTCCAATGCTCACCTCCTTACCTTGCATACATTTTCAAAAAGATACATGTTTCAGAAAATTAATTTATTTTTGTTAAATTAAATTCCAAAAGACCAAAGTGTACACGGTTTCTCAATAAACTGAATAACCAATCTTATTGGAACCATTAATAAGATGACTCAGAATCTTGTTAACTTGGCAGCAGTCACCATACTCACATAATATCCACAGCTCCTGGAGTAACAGAGGATGATGTCTGCTCTTTGCTGGATGAAGAATCAGTAGTACATTCTGGTTCGGATACCGAATCACTGCTGCAGGGCTCACTATTTGGAGATGCATTTCTTTGAGAGGTAGTGTCAATTGCTATAGGTGTTAATTCACTCTCACTGAATGCATCGCTTATAAACATGCCTTCATGGATTAAATAAGCCACCTCTGTGTCCAGTGAATTGTCTTTTGCAGCATTCTTCTGCTGCGAAATTTCCTCCAATTCTCTAGTCCTTTGGTTTTTGTCAAGAACTGAGAGAACAACACTGTGAATGATATTTAACGTTGCCTACAAGAAAACAGGGTACATTTTTAAAGGATTTAAAATATTTTGTACCTAAAGGTTCCAAAAGTGAACTCTGTGTATGTACTTTTGAACATCTTACAAATGAGTCAAGGTCATGCATATCAGAATTTCTTTTATTACACAGTAAAGGTGAACTGTGAAAAAGAATTGCTCAACAGAGATGTTTCCCTAAAGCTTAGACATAGGGCTCCATTTACAAATTAATTTTGTAAATGGAAATCTCCCTAAAATATACTGCATATTTCTCTAACTTCTTAAATAGGTTACACTAAACATAACTTGCCTGTCAGAGGATCATATTCGTTGATTGATGTGCTTTCTTTTCTATTTTTTTTAAAGGGGGGTGTTTGGAACAGAGCAACCAGTATCCAATCATCTATGCAACAAATATTCACTGGGTTTCTTTTTTAATTAATTAATTGATTTGGCTGCATTGGGTCTTCACTGCTGTGCACGGGCTTTCTCTAGTTGCGGCGAGCGGGGGCTACTCTTTGTTGTGGTGCACGGGCTTCTCGTTGCAGTGGCTTCTCTTGTTGAGGAGCACGGGCTCTAGGCGCATGGGCTTCAGTAGCTGTGGCTCGCGGGCTCTAGAGCACAGGCTCAGTAGTTGTGGAGCACGGGGTTAGTTGCACCGCAATGTGTGGGATCTTCCCGGACCAGGGATCAAACCCATGTCCCCTACGTTGGCAGGCGGATTCTTAACCACTGCACCACCAGGGAAGTCCTGCTGTGCTTTCTTAAAAGGAAAAAACAATCCGTATTCCTTACCGTACCTACCCTTAAATCCATCTCTCTCTCCTCATCTTACACCTTTTTCTCACTCATTCACTGCTCTCCAGACATTCTGGTTCTCTTCCTATTCTTCTAAATTCCACTGTTCCCATCTCAGTGCCTTTGTTGTTTCCTCTGCCTGGAATGTTCTTCACCTTGATGTTTGCATACATGTTTCCTTCTCATCACTCAGGTTCCTGCACGACTGTCACTTCCTCAAGAAGCCTCCGGGACGTCCCTGGTGGTCCAGTGGTTAAGACTCCGTGCTCCCGATGCAGGGGGCAAGGGTTCGATCCCTGGTAGGGGAACTAAGATCCCTCATGCCGCACGGCAAAAAAATAAAATAAATAAATAAAACTTAATCAAAAACAACAAAAAAAGCCTCCTATGACTCCTTCCAGCAACCCTATCTCATTAACCAGTTTTTTTAAAATAACAGTTACCACTATCTTTTTATTTTTTTAATTCTAGGTCTCTTTCCATTACAATGTTAGCTCCATGAGATATTATATCCTACTGCCTAGAATAGTAAGTACTGGGCACATAGGAGGTACTTAACAAATACTGAAAGCTAGATGAATTAAGAGTAAATTTATGTAAGTCAATGTCTTCATGGACTACTAAGAAACAGGGGCTGCATTCCTACTTTAACATTCATGGTTGCGTTCTTGTAATTTGTTGCTCCTTTCTTAAAACTCTTGATTTCTTTTTTAGGATCTACATGGTTCTAGGCAAGCAGACTCCAACTTTAAGTCTCCAAAGATAGGATAAGGGTCTAAGCTAGTCCAATCAACTAATGGAACCACCTGAGCTTAAAGCTAAGAAGATACACAGAAGACAGACTGAGAGAAACACAGAGAAACAAAACCAAGGCTTGATAACATCATCAACCTCTCTATCAAGCACCTAAAGGCTGACCTACCTATGGTTATTTTTCAGTTATATGAACTAATAAACTCCCTTAATTGTTTAAAACACTCTGTGTTTCCTGTTATTTGGAACTAAACGCACTCTAAGTGATACAATATTCCATACAGTATATGAGAGATTCTGAGCCTTCGAGTGTCTGTGGACACTGCATATTTTCTTTCTCCACTAATCACTTCTCTATTGTCACAAGCTTGCTCCTTGCTACACTCCTCCATTGCTGCTTTTAATCCTCACTACTGTCTCGTCTTAATCTTGATGTGCTTTCTCCCCCATCTTCATTTTGCCTTTCTTCTTCCTTATCTCTTCTCTCTTGATGATTTTCTTTCTTAAAAAATTTTTTTATAAAAAATGGTCACGGTCTTTGGACATAGTCTTTTTCTCCCCAACAACTATTCTATACCTCCCCCATAGGAATACAGCTATGCAAAACTGAGTCCACCTTCTGGCTTCAGGTGTTAGTCCTACATATCCCACACAGTATACTCCCAACCTCCTTGCCACAGAATTAGTTCAGAAGTGAGAAGAAAATCCAGACCCAAAGCAAGCAGTGCACAGCATTGTCCTGACCACAGTAACCTAATCAGCCCAGTGGATTAAAACCAAGGACTTTGATGATTGAAGAAGAAAAAATCTTGTTTTAGGAAGTAGAGTATACAAATGTGGAAGACCTAAAACTGTTATACATAGACATTTTGCTATAATTAGGTTGGTTACTTTGAAGGTGAGGTCAACAAAGAGGAGGTAGAAGTGAATTAAAACAGAGAAACTAAGGGAGAAAACCATGACCACGTCATAACTGAAGCCTATCCTCGTTTTGGACTATTTTAAGTTCCCCAAGCCAATGCATTTCTTTTATTGTTTAAATTACTTTCATTTGAATACTTTGTCCCTTTTAACTGACAACATCTTAGCTAATACAATAAACTTTCCATATACAGTGTATCAGGTGTTCTCTTAAGGGTTCTTCTTCACTGTTTTCACTATACCTACAGTTTTAAAGGTTTGCTGATTATTTTTTTCCAGAAGATTTTACAATACATAGTAGATTCAACAGTAGGTACGCGATTTATTCTCTGAACTTTCATATTGCAGCAGTTTACAGTCAAGTTCATGTTCAAAGACCACAACCGCTAAAATAAATTTTTCCAGTCTTGAGAATAATGAATGAAATAATCTGGTAACCATATTCATAAGTCTTTAAAATGATAGTCCAGAATTATTTGTCCACATAACAAATTGAAAACTTAAGAGTTAAAAATTTCTTAAAAAAGAATGTAAGCTTGCATTTAAGGATTATTTTCTTTTTTAGCTATACAAATCATCTTACACTATGGGATATAAACAATAAACAAGAATTCTAATAAAAATACAAAATACAATTAATGCCCAGAAATAAACTCATGGTCAATTAATCTACAACAAAGGGCAAAATACAGCAAGAATATACAATGGAGTAAAGACAGTCTCTTCAACAAGTGGTGCTGGGAAAACTAGATAGCTACATGTAAAAGAATGAAACGAGAACACTCTCTAACACCATATAAAAAAAAAACCTAAAAATGGATTAAAGAACTAAATGTAGGACCAGATACTGTAAAACTCCTAGAAGAAAACATAGGCAGAACAGTCTTTGACATGTTGTAAATCACAGCAATATTTTTGGGGACCTGTCTCCTAGAGTAATGGAAATAAAAACAAAAATAAACAAATGGGACCTAATTAAACTTAAAAGTTTTTGCACAGCAAAGGAAACCATAAACAAAGTGAAATGACAACCTATGGACTGGGAGAAAATATTTGCAAATGATGCAACTGACAAGGGATTAATTTCCATAATATACAAACAGCTCACACAGGTCAATATCCAAAAAAAAAAAAAAAAAAACCCAAACAACCCAATTAAAAAATGGGCAGAAGATCTAAATAGACATTTTCTCCAAAGAAGACATACAGATGGCCAACAGGCACCAGAAAAGATGTTCAATATCACTAATTATTAGAGAAATACAAACCAAAACCACAATGAGGTATCACTTTACACCAGTCAGGGTGGCCATCATCAAAAAGTCTACAAATAGTAAATGCTGGAGAGAGTGTGGAGCAAAAGGTACCCTCCTACACTGTCGGTGGGAATGTAAATTGGTGCAGCCACTATGGAGAACAGTATGGAAGTTCCTTAAAAAACTAAAAATAGAGTTACCATATAATCCAGCAGTCTCACTCCTGGGCATATATCCAGAGAAAACTCTAATTCAAAGAGATACATGCAACCCAATGTTCATAGCAGTACTATTTACAATAGCCAAGACATGGAAGCAACCTAAACGTCCATCGACAGATGAATGGATAAAGAAGATGTGGTACATATATACAATGGAATATTATTCAGCCGTAGGAAAGAATGAAATAATGTCATTTGCAGCAACATGGATGGACCTAAAGATTATCATACTAAGTGAAGTAAGCCAGAAAGAGAAAGACAAATACCACATACCACATGATATCACTTATATGTAGAATCTAAAAAAACTGATACAAATGAACTTATTTACAAAACAGAAATAGACTCACAGACATAGAAAACAAACTTATGGTTACCAAAGGGGAAAGAGCTGAGGGGGTGGTGGTGGTGCGGCAGGCGGGGGGATAAATTAGGATTTGGGGGTTAGCAAATACAAACTACTATATATAAAATAGATAAACAGCGGTCCTACTGTATAGTACAGGGAACTATATTCAATATCCTGTAATAAACTATAATGGAAAAGAATATGAAAAAGAATATATATATGTATAACTGAATCACTTTGCTGTATACCAGAAACTAACACAACATTGTAAATCAACCATAGTTCAATTAAAAAAAAGTAATACCTCTTTTTGTAGGAAACTTAGGAAGAACAGAAAAGAATGAATCACAAATTTAAATTATACATAATACTACCACCTAAAGATAACCACTAAAAAGACAAGCTGTCTCTTTGGTCTATGGAGATGAAGAGGTAAAAAAATCTTTCTAACACAGCTAAGAGCAGACTATATATTTAAGTAGGTCCCTGTCTTGCTTTTTAACTTAACGTTATAATGCATGCATTTTCTTCAATCATTAAAAATCCTTGCCTGCATGATATTCCATGATAGTGAATATACCAGGCATAACTTATTTTACCATTCCTCTATTGTTAGACATCATGGTTCTTTCCAATTTGTAGTTATTTAAAAATTCTTCATTAAAAATGAACAGCTGTAATTAACATTATTTTTCAGCAAAATCATGCCCTCAAGGAACCACAAACTTTTTCAAAGAAAAAAGTACTATATTTAAAGATTAAACATCATTTTCAAAGATGTTTTACAACAGTATTAGTTTAAGTGGCCTAAATGTGAAAATAAGAAGCTACAATTAGGACAGATCACTGTTCCCATATTGTACATACATCAAATAATAATGTGGCTTAGTTTAACTGATATAGAACCTAAAAGATAGCTACTTAAAAATAACTGGCAAAAAGTTGGCCAGTTCTAACTATGCAATGTAGGAGTTCTATATATCCAGACCTGTGTGTGATAAGGTCATGGTAGGAATATAAGAAAAAGTGAAAACAAGCCCTCATTACTGTGCAATCCACAGATAAAGGTTTGCTATCTATCACTATCAATGGATAGGATCAACATTTTGGTAGGAGTCTGAATTAAGTATAGTGAATCACATTTTATAAAACTTTTCCCACTCTGACTGGAAAGCTTATGTATGTGACTTAGAGCATGTCAATGTCAATAAGGAAGTCATATCACAGATAAGTACCAAAGTCCCTCAGATCATTTTTAACATGAAACTCAGGAGATGCCAGGGATGTTAACTAGGACATAAATACAATACTGACACATGATAATTCAAAGAATATCACATTTCACAAACAGTCTGTTATACTCAGTAATTCCTAATGACTGTCTTATTAAAACACAGTTATGACATGTTGGTAATCCCAACCAACATGTATTAGAGTCTGTGACATTTTTTCTTCTGAAAAATGCTGTGTGGCATGTGTTCTTTTCCTTATAATGACTGGATTAAAATTAAGTTGTTTGATCAAAGGGACAAAGTAATTAAATGCAATGCATGATACATGAATGGATTCCAGATTGAAAAATGAAAAAAAACCCTGCAATAAAGAACATTAGTAGAGCATTTTAAATATGAACCATATGTTTAAAAATACCATTATATCAACATTAAATTCCTAGAAAAATTAAGTGGTTTGGGATAGATTTTTGAGTGTTTCACAATATTGTAATTCTAGGTAATCTACAGAGATTCAAGCATCACAAAAGGAAATATTACTGTATAATATTTAATGCCAAGTTAGCATCATATTTCTTTTAAAATAAAACATATCATCCAAAATTATAAAAGGGTACCAAAATACTCTGAAGCACTTCAAATCTAATTTAAAACCCTTTAGAAAAATTACAGAAACAAAGAAATGTTGTTTTATTCTAATTTTCATATCTAGAAAGATGACTTAACTTTAGGGATATTCTGGACAAACTGATAAACACATAAGCTTACCTTAACTCTCTGTAGGAAAATTGTAAACTTAGAGAAAATATCCTTTAGCAGATCAAACCACTGAAGAAAATTCAACATTCTCATCTGATCTGCAAGCCTAGAAAAGAAAATTCAAACAAAAATAATGACTGTCTTCAGGCCAACATGGTGTTATCTACAAATTGGAGGAAACTACACTAAATACTAGCAACAAAAGAATAATAAAACGCAATTTAATCTAGATACCTAGCTAAAATTGTAAAACTGAGACGAAGATGTCAATTACTAAGCAACTTCTCCTTGTTTAAACATCTCTAAGACTAGTCAAGTACACTGACTTATGAATCTTATCATGTAGTAATTCCATGTGAACATGCTTCGTGACCATTCGATGAAAAAGCATAGAGAAATAAACTAATTTTGGTTAAATATGGAAAAGATATATTCTGGAATAAAAATAGAAACATAACATCTCCCTTAATAAACGAGCCTCTTCAATAAGTGGTGCTGGGAAAACTGGACAGCTACATGTAAAAGAATGAAATTAGAACACTCCATAATACCATACACAAAAATAAACTCAAAATGGATTAAAGACCTAAATGTAAGGCCAGACACTATCAAACTCTTAGAGGAAAACTTAGGAAGAACACTCTATGACATAAATAACAGCAAGATCCTTTATGACCCACCTCCTAGAGAAATGGAAATAAAAATAAACAAATGGGACCTAATGAAACTTAAAAGCTTTTGCACAGCAAAGGAAACCATAAACAAGACGAAAAGACAGCCCTCAGAATGGGAGAAAATATTTGCAAATGAAGCAACTGACGAAGTATTAATCTCCGAAATTTACAAGCAGCTCATGCAGCTCAATATCAAAAAGCAAACAACCCAATACAAAAATGGGCAGAAGACCTAAACAGACATTTCTCCAAAGAAGATATACAGATTGCCAACAAACACATGAAAGAATGCTCAACATCATTAATCATTAGAGAAATGCAAATCAAAACTACAATGCGATATCATTTCACACCGGTCAGAATGGCCATCATCAAAAAATCTACAAACAATAAATGCTGGAGAGGGTGTGGAGAAAAGGGAACCCTCATACACTGTTGGTGGGAATGTAAATTGATACAGCCACTATGGAGATTCCTTAAAATCAGCCAGTATGGAGGTTCCTTAAAAAACTACACATAGAACTACCATACGACCCAGCAATCCCACTATTGGACATATACCCTGAGAAAACCATAATTCAAAAACAGTCATGTACCACAATGTTCATTGCAGCTCTATTTACAATAGTCAGGACACGGAAGCAACCTAAGTGTCCATCGACAGATGAACAGATAAAGAAGATGTGGCACATGTATACAATGGAATATTACTCAGCCATAAAAAGAAACGAAATTGAGTTATTTGTAGTGAGGTGGATGGACCTAGAGTCTGTCATACAGAGTGAAGTAAGTCAGAAAGAGAAAAACAAATACCGTATGCTAACACATATATATGGAATCTAAAAAAAAAAAAAAAAAATGGTCATGAAGAACCGAGGGGCAAGACGGGAATAAAGACACAGACCTACTAGAGAATGAACTTGAGGACACAAGGAGGGGGAAGGGTAAGCTGAGACAAAGTGAGAGAGTGGTAGTGTATATATGGACATATATACACTACCAAATGTAAAATAGATAGTGGGAAGCAGTCGCATAGCACAGGGAGATCAGCTAGGTGCTTTGTGACCAGCTAGAAGGGTGGGAGAGGGAGGGTGGGAGGGAGGGAGATGCAAGAGGGAAGAGATATGGGGATATATGTATATGTATAACTGATTTACTTTGTTATAAAGCAGAAACTAACACACCATTATAAGGCAATTATACTCCAATAAAAATGTTAAAAAAAATAAAAATAGAAACATAACATCTCCCCTAATAAACTTAATAACCTACTTTTCTAACTACAGACTAAAAAGTACTCTTCTGTATATCATGTGGCATGGTGGCTAAGAGCATGGGCTCTTAAGACACAATGCCTTGGTTCAAGTTCCAGCCCTGCCACTTACTAGTTGTGTGACTCTGGACAAATGACTTAACTCCTCCATGATCTAATTTTCTCATTTTAAATAGGTAGAACCTACCTTATATGGTAGCTGTGAATATAAACTGAGTTAATACGAAGTACTCAGAACAATGCACAGTGCTATGTAAGTATTAGCCAATATTGTATTAGTTACATATATATTATATATATACTAAATATTACAATACATAATAGTACAGCCAATATTTTTATAACTGACATCAATCAACTTTAAGATTAAAAATTAATAAAAAAATAGAAATCCATAAAGATAGTTTAGAGTACTACAATGACTTATTACTCCAAATTTTTAATTAATGCTGCTACACCTAGGACTTTATTCTCAAAAGATACTCCTATACACTTGAGATATAGAATGTTCTCTAAGTTGAGAAAATTCCCTAGGGAAGAAAAATATTAAAAATAACTGACTCTCCATGTATATAGGGCTTTTAGCAAAGGTCCAGTAACTTAATTTTTCCAGCTACTAGTGATCCCTGCATTATTAGGATTGCTTCAACTAATTCTGAAACTGAGCTTTCACTAGGTAATAGTGTGGAAATTAAAACTCCACAATCCTCATTCTATGAGTCTGGCCCAGAGAAGTTTTACAGTTATCCATATTACTATTCATATCTTAGACCAGTTAATAAAGTTTAGATACCTATATGAACAAGAAATTCATAGTCATAAAATATTTATCACTGTTCTCCTTAAAATAAGAATAGTTATTTCAAGGGGAAAACAAAAAATTATAGACATGGGCAATTCAAAATCATGTACTCAAACTTCTCAAAGCTAACTGGGTTTTAATTATATAGCTAAATAATTTAAATTTAACACCGCTACTCCTCTTCAATTTCCACCCTCCATATGACGTTGTATCCTCTCCACCCTCTCTCTGCCCTGGGAGGCTGACCTGCTGGGCTTGGCCAGTGAGGAGCCCTTACAAAAGACTGAAAGGAGGAAAGGTGCTAATAGTCCGTCTCCATCCCTGAGGGGTTACCTCAGGATGACTGCCTCCCTCCACTGAAGATCACTTCAACTACTAAAAGACTTTTTTTTTTTTCAGCTACTTACATCTTCTTCTCCTGAATTCCATTAACTGCTCTCTTTCTTTGTCCCTTAAAGGTACTTCACTATCACTTGTGATTTTCCTACACTCTGCCCACACCTTAGCAAATAATTCCTGAACTAAATCCTCCTTAGATTATTCTAATGCGTTATCTTTTCCCTGACTGGTAACCCCAACTTAATATTTATACTTACTTCAAAACAACATCTGTGTCTATGTCTTCTATTTGTGAAACTTTATTAATCACACACTGCAAAATTTAAGAAAAAAATTTGATTAATGTCTTTAGAACTTTAAGTACTACATGTTCATTTGTATATTAATAAGGGCCTCAATGACTATAATTATTTGACCAAACTTCTCCTCTTACACCTCAAGGTGTTTAAAAAAACTGCAGCATTACCTTTACCCTATTAAATAATTATTCCAGGGTATGCTTGAACTGTATTAATCACAATTTCCTACTATTTAAAACTGTTCACACACAAATACACACACAACACACACAAACACACACGCACACACACAAAACCCCCATAGAACTATTAATACTTAGGACATGGTATAAGCCCCATACTAAAATTCCAAAAGAAATTCATTTTGGAGGTCACACTTCCTTGCAACACGTGCAACAGTTTAAGGTTTTAAAAAATAAATGCTCAGACTTTAGAAGTCTAGGAATTAAAACAGAGCAGTTTTTAAAAACTGTTTAAAAGTATAATATACATACAGAAAACTGTACAAATTATGTTTATAGCTCAATATTTTTTTTATAAATGGAGTGCACCTATTTAACCAGAGCTCAGATTATGAAATTGAACATTACCAGTAAGCCCCTCCTGCTCCCCTCCTGGTCACTACTTCCTCCCAAAAGACATTACTATCCTGATTTCTAACACCACAGATTAATTTTGCCCGTGTTTGAATTTTACGTAAGTGGAATCATACAGTGTGTACTCTTCCGTGTCTGGCTTCTTTGGCTCCACCTTATGTATGTGAATATCCATGTTGTTCCATGTAGTTTATTCATTCTCATTGCTGTATAGTATTCAATGATGTAAATATGCTACAATTCTATTTATCTTTTTTACTGATGATAAAATTTGAGTGTTTCCGGTTTTTTATTACAAATATGCTGCCATGGAATGCTTGTGTTGTCTTTGGTGAGCCTAGGTATGAATTTCTGTTGGGTAAATTACCTAGAAGTAGAATTGCTAAGCTATAATATACATGTATATTTAGTGCTAGTTATCAACAATTTTTGGAAGTGGTAGTGATAATTTTAAAATATGGTGTTTTAGTCAATGTTTGAAAGAGGTAAAAGATGGGGCGATTGTAACATTTTTCTTGCTTGTTTTATTTAAACATTAAAAACTAAGAAATGTACATTCAACCTAATGATGATGATCAATTAAGCCTAAGAAATTCATTCAAAATTGTTCTTTTTCACACACAGAAAAACTAAAGTTCAGAGAATGAGATTTATCTGAATAGAAAGTCAAAACAAAAATCAGGGAAGTGTATACATATAGCTGATTCACTTTGTTGTACAGAGGAAACTAACACAACATTGTAAAGCAATTGTACTCCAATAAAGATGTAAAAAAAAAAACTGCTTATGGAAAAAAATTGTATCTCATGAAATATAGCGGCAACTTGAATTTCACATCTTTAAAACTGAAATAACCTTAAAATGTATATCTACTTTCTAATGAGTAGATGACAAATACTGAAACTTTGATAGCATTGTAGATGGTAAGCTTTTTCTTTTAATTTCTAAAAGTAATGCAGATGTAAAATGTCTGACAATTCCACTTTATCACTTTATGCCAATTGTGTTGTAATAAATACCAATTAGCTTGGGAAAAAAATCAGGGAAGACTAAAAAAAAACAAATAGATTTTAGTTTACAATTATAATTTCTTAGAGATCAGAGTAAGAAGAAACGCTGGTGAAAGTATATACTATTGGTAAAACGTTTTTAGAAAAAAAGCAATTCAGCTCTATGTATCAAACAATTTAAAAATACATTTCACTCTCTGACCAATAGTTCCACTTCAGGAATCAGTTATAAGAAAAATAGTCTTAAATATGAGAAACCAAACAAACAAGACTTTATACCAAAGCATACCAAAGATGTTTGTCACAGTGCTCTTTATAGTACCGAAATGAAAATGACCTAAATATTTAACACAGAGGAAAGTTTAAACAGGTTTAACTAACATAATGTTGATGGAATTTTATACAACCATTAAAAGTGATATTTCTGAAGGCTTATGAGCAAATGCTTATGTTATGATTCAAACGGAAATATATAATACAATTCAAAATTATATATACAGTATGAGAGCACCAATGATAAACACCAGTAACAACTTATGCTTAGAAATATTCTTTTTTTTTTTTTTTTCGGTACGGGGCTCTCTCACTGCTGTGGCCTCTCTCGCTGCAGTGCACAGGCTCCGGACGCACAGGCCCAGCAGCCATGGCTCACGGGCCCAGCTGCTCCACGGCATGTGGGATCTTCCCGGATGGGGGCACGAACCCGTGTCCCCTGCATCGGCAGGTGGACTCCCAACCACTGCGCCACCAGGGAAGCCCTAGAAATATTCTTAAAGTGATAATCTTTTTGACTGGTAGGGCTATGTTTTTCTTTCTTCTATATTTAAAATTTTTTAATAAATGAGAAAATATTACTATGATACTGCATGTATTATTACAGGATCATGTAAAAATAAACTTCACAAAAGATTCTAGATGAAAATATATCAAATAAAAAAGTATAATTACCTGTTTAATGATATTCTTTGCTGTAATAATCATTTCTTCACTATATATTTCTAAAAAATTAAGTTTTCTTTGTTTTAAAAGTCCAAATACAAGAGATACTAGTCTTTCCTGTTAAAATAAAAGAAGGGCATACAATGTCAAAATTCAAATACAAAATAATCTCACTTAGAGGTAGAAATAATCAACGTCAAGGGTTTTATTGTTTGACCCTCAAATCTCTATCCTCCTTTTGGTATTTTCTAAAAGGCTTAAAAACCCCTTTCCATAGCAATCTTGTCATCAGATTTTTGGAGTCATTATTCTAAAACAGGTAAATCCTATCCTACTATAGTGGATCAAATGAAGCTGGTTTGGGGACAAAACAATATGAGTATATTTTGGTCTAGTTTCAGTAAGTAGCTAGAAAGTATTATTCTGAAACCCTGATGACCAATAAATACTCTATGAGCCCGGTGCTTTCTAATTAGTGGTCTAGAAGACTGGAATGATGACCTGGATTATTTGTGGAGCATTAACTGCTAACATTTACAAAAATCTCTTTAACTACTTAGGCTGCTATCAGGGCTTTTTGGATTCTTTACAAATTCTTGGCAATAATCAGCATTGAGAAGTTACTAGATAAGTTACCAAATATGATATATTTGTACATGCATATGCATAAAACATGTTCATAATAGGTGCTCAGTGAATGTGAATGACTGATAAGTTACCATATAATAATGATCACTTTTTATAAAAGACACACTCCAATACATGCATATACATGGATATAAGTTAATTCATTCTATATCTACATTCTATATCTATATTTGGAACTTGGGTAGTAAGCCATATAAAGACTTCATTTTAACTCCCATTTCTAATTAAGCTACAAAATTATTTATTCTCTAATTTCACAGGATAATAAACAACTGTGTGCTTCCTAAAGTCACATACTTAGTGAAAGATTTCATAGGTCTCACAGGCTTGATATTGAAGATAATTTTGCTCACTATAACCTGAGGAGAATGTGTTCTAAACTAAGGCTGTTAGGAAATAACACTAAGCAATGACATCAATTTCATTCTACAGTTCAAAAGACATACCTCTTCTAAAATTTGACAGTCATCTTCCAATGGTCTATTTAAGTCACTGTGAGAATAAGTAGAAAATTCTGCAATCATCATTTTATCTATCAGTTTTTCTAATTCACAAAGCTGTGATCCCAAATGCCTACAAAGGAAGAGGGAAATGTTACCTCATTTATTAAAAACCCAGATTTACTCCACGATCAAGGGAACCCGTCAGCAAAACTTTTCTAGCTGACAGTACTTGTGCAACAAGGTGATGTTTTAGTAAAATACAGTCTTTTAACTTAACAAAAATAACTGAGACAGTTTCACATCATCTCCCAAATTCTATTTTTCTCTGTATATCTTAACCTCCAAACAGTTAAATATACTATAGGAAACTTGGTTCTAGAAAACTTCATGATTGCTTTTTAGTCTGCTTTTCACAGACAAAATATTCAGATATTCTAAGTCCTTTCCTCATTAACCACTTACTGAATATAAATGTCAGTAGCTCCCCAGCCATTCACGTATGCAATAAATACAAGCGCTTACTATGCACCAGGCCCTGTTCTGGGTACCTATAAATATTTGAAGGACTATAGGAGAGACTGACTCAGCTCAACCTCCGTCAGAATCAGTTTGAGTTACTGTGCAATATCCCTCAGGCCATTAAAGTCATTAGAACACATGAGTGAAGATCTAAAGTCACTGAGCTATAATCTATCCATGGAACTTCTTCTCATGAAGTATGATGTTCCTTTTTAGTCCACCTCTTCAGTACCTGCAGATCCTGGCTAGGGTTAAAGTGAGCAGGACTCTAATTTTGGCAGAGTTGTAGGGGTGGTGAGGGCAAGTATTACTAAAGAGATTTGGAACCTTCTCCCTAGAAAAAGTAAGTACTGTCCAAGTGACAAGAGTGGTCCCAGGTAGTTAATCCCTGCTCTGAAGGGCACTAAGGATGAATACCGTCATATCCAAAGGGATTTTTGCCACACAATCTAATAGTTTCATAAAAACAATGGGTTGAAGAAACCTAGGTAATCTAGTTGGTCCAAGGCATTTCAAAAATTAAGTGAAATTTATCTTAAATGTAAACATTTATAATTAATTATAAAAACATTTTAAAAGTTTATGCTACATTTACTTGAAAAACAAGCCCTTAATGTTAGCAACTGTCTTTACTATGACCAGATATAGCACATTAAAAAAAATTAAAGCATGTGACCTTTTAGACAGATCCGTTGTTCTTCTTTTATGAACAACAACAATATGGTAAGTAGTGCAGTGATACTTTTAGAAAAAATCTGATAAGTGAAATAACATAAATGTGCTTTTTGCAATATGAAAATTATATTTCTCACAGCTAATTAGAAGTCTGATAAGGTTCTCATAAATGGTGACAACATCTCACAATAAACTAATTTATAACATATCCACTCGTACAAACTAAAACACTGCCATAAAAGGAATTTGGCAGTGTCTTGCAAAATTACATAGGCAATTAGCCTTTGACCTAGGAATCTGACTTCTCAGAATCCATCTCAAAGATACACTGGTAAATGACAAAAGAACATACATTCATTGCAGCACTGTTGGTAATTGCAAAGGAATGGAAACAACCCAAATGCTGACCAACAGAAGGCTAGTTAAATATATCATAATAGACCCTATAACACTTTTAAAAGAATCGAGGAATACCAATTAATATACTATATACTGCTACAGAGCAGTTTCTCAACTACTGCCCCCTTAAAAAGTCTTTTCAGACATTTTTATTTCTAATCACTCCCCATGAAGTTTTAATATCACAGATATACTGTAAATCCGTTTATGTACTGTGGTCTTTGGGGGGCCACAAACCATTGTAAAATCCAAGAGTTTTTTTTCACCCTTCAAGAACAAACTTTTCCCCCCTTTGGGTGATATCTCCCATTGAGAATGCATACTGTAGCATGATCTACAGGGTATATACTGTAAGATAAAAACCCCACGGTGGAGGAAAGTATGTACAGTATGCTAATGCTTATCTAAGATGAGGGACAGACAGAGAGATGGATAAATAAACATAAACTAAAACTTTTTTAAATGACTTGTAGGAGTAGGTACAGAGGAAGAGAACCAAGATAGAAGTTAAATTTCTCTGAATATTTTTTGTTCTATAGATTTGACTTTGGAACTATGTAACTACTTAACATAGTTGTAAAACAATAGTACATTTAAAAACAGCAATCCTTGAATATCAAAAGCAAATGAAACAAATGAACTTAACTATGTATCAAAGTACAGGCAAATCTACACAAAGAGGAATTATTTCAAGTGACTTTAAAACACAGTAATTTAGGGCTTCCCTGGTGGCGCAGTGGTTGAGAGTCCGCCTGCCGATGCAGGGGACGCGGGTTCGTGCCCCGGTCCGGGAAGATCCCACGTGCCGCGGAGCGGCTGGGCCCGTGAGCCATGGACGCTGAGCCTGCGCGTCCGGAGCCTGTGCTCCGCAACGGGAGAGGCCACAACAGGGAGAGGCCCGCGTACCGCAAAAAAAAAAAAACACAGTAATTTATCCATTCATACCACAAGGGATATACCTTAAGAAAAAGAGGGAAAATTATTTTCTAGCTCTTCCCACTAAAAAGGCCTAGAGATCATGACCAATCCAGTAGCAAGGAACACCTCTGATACCTAGATTGTAATTTCTAAATACCATTTCCTACTAAAAGAAACTAGGGCTCCTTAGAGAAATGGCAGTTTACAAATATGGAGCAGAAAATGTATAATATGAATATCCTGTCATAACATGAAGAAAACCATTAATGACTACTCATAGAATCAAAAGGACTTGAGGAGGTTCCTACAAAAGATAGGACAATATGAACATTGATTAAAAAAAACCTTAATACTTCAAATATATATAAATCCATGTGCTTATAAAACATTTGGAAGATGCTACATTTTTCAATTCATTATTTTAAAAACTGCTAAATAAAGGAAAAGAACCTAGACTTTATCTTGCCTATCCTTGTAAGAACTGTCCTTCAGAATTACCAAGTAATTGTTATGGAGAAATATGGCTTTATAGAAATATTCCATTAACAAATGAATAAGGAAGTTTAGAATTAGAATATCATGATTTGCAACCCATAATGAGATGATAAATCTAGGCAATGATCACCAAATGGCTGCTAATTTCACGAAAAAAGAGACAACCAGATATATGCCTCTTGGCTGAAATACACCTATTAGGTACTCTTACCAAAAAGAAAAACTTAAATCTGATCAAGGCTTTAAATCTAACTACCAGTTTATAGAAAATACAAGTAAAAGGAAAACACACTAAACATGGGGATGCAGTTGGCAAAATCCAGACTGTGAGAAGCACTACAAAGACAACTCAATTTCTTCAATAAGTATTTTGAAAGGGAGAAAATGAGAAGAATGGAGAACTATATATCAAAAGACATTTGAAATATATCAACCAATTGTAATATACAGTTGTTATTATTTGGATCCTGTTTCAACAAATACACTGTGAAAAGAATTTTGAGAGAAATAGGAAAATCTGAACACTGACTAGCTATTTGAAACTATGAATGATATTCGAGTTATGTTTTTAAAGATCTTTATCTTTCAGAGATACATAATGAAATACTTATGGATGAAATGAAATCATGTTTTGGATTTGTTTCAAAATAATCCAGGAGTAGGGGGAGGCATATAGAGAAAACCAAGTTGGCTATGAGTTAATAACTCACAGGTCATATGCAATTTATCCAGCTTCATATAACTCTCTTCATATAATTTCCTCTATTTTTGTGTATGTTTCAGTTTTCAATAAGTTTTAAAAAGCAGTAATAGGGTAGGATATGAATCCACACATAAATTTAACATTGCTTCGTTCTCAGTTAATTGATTTTTATAAAGATCAAAAATTCCTTTTAAATGCAGACTAGAGGTTAACACCCAAGTATGTGTTACCTTCAGGTACAAATAGTCTTCAGCAAATCCCAACAAAGAATTATGGTAGGAAGTCCATAGGACTGTATCTACTGATGTTTGGGCATCAAAGTAATAAAACTCTATCATTTCAGCCTAATAACTTAAATGTGACGTTCTATTTAATGTCAGATATTGTCAAAAATAACTGAGTAGCTTCATTTTTACACATCTTGAGTAATTTTAAAATCTGACAAATATAATAAAGAAGAGCAGATATGAATCTCAATACTAACATCAAATAGTATTTATTATGTACTCACAGGTATATGATAACATATATAAAAAGATTTGTCTAAGCAAATCCCTAAATAAAATTTCTAGAATTAGTGTTTTATAGGATTCACCTATTCATCCTTGCTGTTTTTAAAATATTTTAGACTACTTTAACAATAGATGCAATTATACTGGCCTGTATATTATTATTAACCTTACCAAAAATATTTAATAGATAAATCTCCTAACAGTTCATTTTAAAAGTATGTATCCTAATAATCACATATAATACTTTACAGTGGTGAAAGAAATCTCCTGAAATGACAGACAAGTAACTAAAAATCACTTTCTGAAAAAGTACATAGGCTCATATATCCAGCTAAACAAATTGGAGCAATTCTAATACTTTCTACTTTAATATGCCTCAATTTGTACGTGAATTCAGAACTTCTACTAAGCTGTGGGTTCACTACAATGACCTTTGTGTTGCTTTTATCACAGAAACTTACATATCAATAAACCCTACAGTAATACTAGTTTCATCAAATAGCAGAAAATCTGTTGTTTTGGCTTCACCTCAGAGCACACAATGTGGATGTTTTCATAACATAATGTTTTCAAGATCTAAATTATGGGAGATTATATAGGAGTAAAGAAGATGTTAAATACCTTTTACTACTTCCAATCCTACTACTAAAAATACTACTTCCAATCCTACTACTAAAAATCCCTTAAGTGGAATCCCAAGGTGGCCTCTGATCAATGAAATCATAATAAGCTAGAACCTATAATTAACTCTGAATGTTTTCCACCTTTTCTTTCAAGAAGAAGAAGAAGAAGAAGAAGGAGGAGGAGGAGGAGGAGAAGAAGGAGAGGAGGGGAGGGGGAGGAGAAGGAGGAGGGGAGGGGGAGGGGAGAAGGAGGAGAAGAAGGAGAAGAAGGAGAAGGAGGAGAAGGAGGAGAAGGAGGAGAAGGAGGAGAAGGAGAAGAGGGAGGGGGAGAGGAGGAGGAGAAGGAGAAGGAGAAGAAGAAGAAGAAGGAGGAGAAGGAGAAGAAGGAGAAGAAATGAAGAAGGAAGAAGAAGAAGAAGAGGAGGAGGAGGAGGGGGAGGGGGGAGAGGGAGGAGGAGGGGGAGGGGGGAGAGGGAGGAGGAGGAGGAGGAGAAGAAGAAGGAGAAGAAGGAGACGACGACGACGTACGAGTAGAAAAACTAGTTTCATTAATTTTTATCCTAAAATCTATTACTATGGTAGATTCCTAGCTCAGCAAACCTCCAACTCAGTTGCCCACAGTTTAACATCTATTGCACTAGAAAATTAGCACTGATGTTCAGAGTGATCTATTTGAGGTCCTACAAAACCTCAATCAAATATATTAAAAAGTATACATAACTCTTGGGTCCGATGAGATCTGGGTTGAATCTTGACTCTACTGTTTTATAACTTGCTGTATGACTTGGAGCAAGTTATCTAAGATTTTCAATGCTCTAGTTTCCTTATCTATTAAAATGGGGATAAAACTATCTATCTCATAGAAGGGTTTTTTTGGAGTGGGGAGGGGGATCAAATAATATATGCAATATTCTTAGCACTGGTACAGAATACCAAAGTATTCAAAAAACGTTCTTAGGTTTTGTAGTGGTGGCAGTAGTACAGTAATGGTGGTAGTAAGTAATAAAGAAAAAAAAATTAACAGTGGTGAAAACTGAAGTTTCTACATAAACCTTTACAGTAAGAAACAGAAAATAACAACATTATATCCCTGAATTTCAAGGTAACTGAATCTTTTCTATACGAAACCTGCAAGATATCAAGGTTCAAATATATTTTCATATATATTATATTTTATATGAAGAATAAACACTCTTTATAAATGTGCAGGTTCTAAAAAAAATAATAGTAGATATTTGAGTAAAACATAGATAATCAGGGGCTTCCCTGGTAGCGCAGAGGTTGAGAGTCCGCCTGCCGATGCAGAGGACACGGGTTCGTGCCCCAGTCCGGGAAGATCCCACATGCCGCGGAGCGCCTGGGCCCATGAGCCATGGCCGCTGAGCCTGCGCGTCTGGAGCCTGTGCTCCGCGACGGGAGAGGCCACAACAGTGAGAGGCCCACATACCGCAAAAAAAAAAAAACAACAAAGAAAAACAAAACATAGATAATCAGAATATTTGAGAGTCTTTTAAAAAATCATATACACTTTTTTATGAAGAATATTTTGTCCTTTGAGTTAAGGTACAAACAAAAAAAGTAAGGATGAAAATAAAGGTAAACTCTTTCTTGAGCTCAAGATAATTAAAAGATTATAAAATTTTCATTCTGCCTTCTGATAAATCATAATCTACTGGGAATAAATATCCAACCCTGTTCTTAAATATTTTCTAGATAGCTTTGGAGAACTAAATTTTTCATCAGTATTATTAGGCATAAACTTATGAGTCAGGAAAATGAAATAAAATAAACTGCATGACCTTTGGAGTAAAAATGAGAACAGTTTCAGAATTTGTGTTTAGCAGGCAAGCATTTAATCTTTGCTTCTATTGCTCTATTCAGAGGATAAAGCACTCTACTTTCTAGGAACAGCTCCCAATATTCATCAAATTCATATAATATAGCGGTGACAAGAAAAAACACAGCTTCTGTCATTACAGAAGTCCATTTTGCTAAAATACTGACAAAATTAATATTATTTATTTTAAAAATATATGCCATATACACATTCAAAAAAGAGAAATATTTAAATTTTCAGAGGTAAAGGGGAAACTAAAAATCATTTAGTCACCCTGGGTTCCCATGCTGAGAAATCCAAAGTAGGCCTCAAAGGACTACAAACCACCCAAAATTGATTGCAAAATTTTATGTACAGGTATATTTTTATGGAAAGAAGGTCCATCCACAGCTTTCAATAGATTCTCAAAGAGGTTTGTGATCCAAACTTTTTCTGTAAACATCCAAGTCTGGATAAGGTTCTTCCCCTAAGGTTAGGATCCATAGTAATCTGTACTTCATCATCGTACTGTACTGTACTGTATAATAACTACCCAGTAATTTCTGTCTCCCTCCTATCAAATAAATTGTAGAAACAGAGCAGAAAGCATCTCTGCTTTGTTCATGGCTATATTCCCAGTATTCTGCCTGGTGTCTGTCATGTAATCAATAACCATTTCTTGACTAAATGAATCAATCATTCACTTGCATAATTAAAATTGGGCCAACTTTTTAAAAGTGCTTTCAAAATAAATATTCCAATTACATATCCTTAGTCAATAAGAACTTATAATTCAATTAAAATAAACTTATATTAAAGATAACCTTTCCAGAATATATTAAGTTACACAGCACATCTCCCATAAAACTTCTTTGTAGTCACTCAGTAGTATAATGTTTCCCAGCAGATAGGAACTTCAACAAGGAAACCGCAAGCCTGCTTAACTGAATGAAATTTTGATGGCTTACAATTGGTGTAATCTGTAAATTAAACATATGACATGATCTCACATAAAATAACTAAAACCCTAATCTTAAAGGTATTTTCAAAATAAAAACTTGGAAGAAATTGGGTCTTTTCCATCATCGTGTGGAATGTTTTGCAATGTGATAGACTGTAAATGAGAAATGAATTTTAATAATTATCTAATTTAAAACTTATTCAATGGCTTTTAAAATGAACTTAATTTCAGCTATACTAGTATTCCTTTTTCCACCTTTATCTATTATCTTGACACAAAACTACTTCAACATTTTCAAAATATAATTTTCAAAGCTGTGACTGGCCCTTCGTTGATTTCATCTGCTAGAAAATTTAATTTTACTTCTTTATCCAAATGTCTCTGTAAATATTGGTCCTTATGATTTTTGTTTGTTTTAGTAAGACTAAAATATCAGAATGATAACATTATTAAACAGATCAATCTGGAAGAAAAAAATACCCTTGTAACTCTAACACATTCATAGATTTTCAGCTAACGTTACATACTAAAATTTATCCTTTAGAAAGTTCTAACATTATTTCTAATGGCTTACTTAATGGACATACCGGAAGCTGTGAATGCCCTGAAGTTCCTGCTGTAGAACCTCTTGCGTTGTTGCTATTAAGTCCAATGCTCCGACAAATTCAGAAGTAGATAACAACACCTGTACTGTAGGCTGAGTCTGGTGTACAGTGGCCATTAATTTCAGTTTATTGTATACTTTAACACAATTATTTCTGGTAAGTGCCAGTCTTAAAATGTGTAGTGATCCTTCACACATTACTTTATCAATCTGTGCAATTTTATCTCGAAGCATTTTTACAGCCTGGGAAGTTTTCTTGAGGTAGTCCTGCAATTCGTGTTGAGAGGTCATTGCATGAAAAAATGCTTCTGAACGTAGAGAGATCTGGTGAGCAATGTTTACTTCCACAATATCCAGATAATGGCTCAGCTTAAGAGGAAAGGAAAAGAAAAAAAATCACAGCATATTATAAGTATACCTTAACTACCCAAATACTTTCTGAAAACGATACAATATTTCTACATGCATTTTAAATCCCACTGTGTGAACTGTTTGATTATGTGATGCTTGATACTAGGCATACAAAACAGAAGGGAGATGAAAGGTAGAGCCCAAAATTAATAAATGTAAGACAAAAGCATAGAAGGTGATTTACCTTCTTCCTCTGCTCCTGCCATTACTGTCCTCCAGACACCAACTACTTTCTAGAGAGTAAAAGTAGCCCACAGTCATCTCAGATTATAATCTAGTTTTAGAAGTTCCAAGATCTGAGACAGAATGATTGAGTTCCTTAACCTCCACACATCACTGCCATCACCAATATAATGTATCATTTATCTGACTGAAAGATGATTATAGTTACCATTTACTGGCTTTCTATGTACCAGGCACTGGTATTTTATATACATCATCTTCTAATTTTAACAATCTTGGAATACAGGTATTATTATTATTTTATTTTACAGTTGAGGACAATGAGGCTCAGAAACATTAAATAACTTGAATAAAGTCATATGATTAGTAAGTAGAAAAATTGAAATTCGAACCCAGGTTTGTCTAACTCAAAAAGTGAAGTTCTTTCTACTGTACCATGCTGCCTCAAAACGTTAGAGAATTCATGAAAGACAGATTGGTGATCCAGCCACAAATTACAGAGAGTACTAGAATTCACCTGGATCTTTTTTTTTTAAGCTGTTAATTTCACATTTCAACAATTATTCTTTTATCAATTTATAAAACTCAGTTTATTTCCAATGTGTTTTCCTCTTAAAGAGTTGACTGAAACAATTAGTTCATATATATCTTATTTGTAATACTACCAAAATTAATTCCTGGAATAACATGTATTAAGAATGCTTTGTAATTTCAAATATGGACTTCTAAAACTTGAGTTGTCTTTTCTTCCTTCATAACTGCATATGCCTTCTTTGGCTATATTATTTTTCCATTTCTCTCCCACTTTTTTACTTCTAGATTCTTCCTATTCTTCCTATAGCTCAAACTTTAAGAATTATCTCTGAACATCTCAGGAGAATTTGTAGTGTTAAAGGGTTAATGGGCTTTCAACATTTAGGACTCATAAAATTAGAGGATTATTTGGTCACCAAGCCTGTCTCATTAAAACCATGCAGGATCATGCATATCTTCAATACAGCTCCTTCAATAATCTATTATAATATATAATAGGTTACAAACAAGACATTCTTCTATAGTTTAAATCTGTTGCATTTACACTCTTTTGCTGTTGTTCTTTTTACCTTCAACAGCTGTTCATTTATTTACCTAAAAAGCAATATGGGGATGAAGGTACTTAGGTACATCACAAGCTAAAGTAGACTCAATCTTCAGAAAATGGAGAAAAAGTAACTCCTGTAGGACAGGGGTACTCAGAATGCAGTTTATATGCTGCTGCCAGTTTGTGAACTGTTTAACAGGTCCATGATGAAATGAGGAACTCTGCTGGAAATTAAATCAACTACATCACTAAGCCCACGGTATTGCTTTTTCATAGAAAGACTTTCTTAATGAAGGAAGCAGTGAAATGATGTACGTTCTAGAGCAAACTCATTGTCTCATCGCAGACCAGCACTTTGGGTAGCAGTACTACAATAGGACAAAAATTTCCCTAATCCTGGTTGTAGCATCCCCTCTTTAAAACTAGCAAGATAAAATGGGTGCTGTCAATCATACAGTGAGTTTGAATCCTGTCTTCCATTCCTTTTCTAAGAACAGAGCAGAATGAGGAGACAAAATGTAAATGTAATAAAGCTGATTCTGCAACTTACCAAAAAAAAAAAAATTTCCATTACTTTAGTCACTTTAAACATTTAGCATGAGAAAATTGTTTCATTTGAATTTCAAATATTTCTGCAATTTATCAATACTCCATTGATCTATTCTTTTCAAAGGCATAATATTTTCATAATTCATTTCCGAGTAAAATTCTATAAAGGGAACAGTTTTTAAAGTATTCCTAAAAGTATCTGTATAGATTGGTGAAATTTTTATTGGCTTTTGTTGTTTTTCTCTTTTAAGGTATTCTACCAGGGGATATACTTGCAATGTGAAAACGTAGTCTGGGAGTGAGTCTGTGTCTATATATCCATTGTTTTCATAAGATTTGTGAATTTATTCTTACTCAAGGAAAACCTTTATAGATGAAAATGTTGCCAAAAAAAAAAAAAAGTGAATTCATTTTCAACTGTGAGAAACGGAATACTCACGATTCTTTCCCCACATTTCTTCTCCTCTCCTCCCTAAGTAGCCCTTTCTTCAGTTGCTGAGACTGGACCCAACTTATTGAATAGTCTACCTGAGGCAAGCTTTCAGACTGCCAAGAGCTGTCGCCTGACTAAAATGAAATGCTTTCATCTCAGTTTAGGAACCACAGTCAGTTTTAGAAAAGCTCTAAACTGAATGCTAAGAAAGAACAGAGATCAAAGGTCTTTACTTCCTATTCCAGTTTTAAAAGATTCTTGATCTATGAGTTATGTTTAAAGTTTTACATTTTAAATGACTTTCAAGATGTTGACTTCTGAAATATAGAACACTGTAAAATTCTGAAAAACTGCTGACTAATAACACGCAAAAGGCTACGCTTTGCAAAGCTAAAGGAACAAGGCATTTTTTAACTATGCTATTTTTGCTTCAAAATAATCATCATTACTATGTGTAAACGAGGAAAAATAGTACCTCAGGAAAAGTTAATTTTCTGTGCTTTAAGTCATAAAGAATATAAAATTAGCCAATATACTGTTTGGAATAAATGTAAAACAATTAATTGTGTTATCTAATACATCCTTTCAATTGAGATTGCTATCAACTGCTGTTTCAGATAAGAAGCACTCAAACAATAACCTTTTCCTTTTTCAACAGCACAACTTGTATTGCATTGACACAAAGTGCTATTACTTTATCAGTTAAGATCTGAAGGGTTCTAATTATCAGTAACAATAAAGATGAAATTAAAGGAATTAGTGCCTACTAAATAACTAACTCTGAACTCACACAAACAGTACCACTTAATTAAAATAGTTTTCTACATGGGAAAAGTAAAAAAGAAACTACCTTTTCTTGTAGCAACTTTGAGGAAGCTGCATCACGATTTCCTTTTCCACCAGCAGTATTAAAATGAGACCATGGTAAAACTGAATTAAAAGTTAAGGAATCGTCCAAGGCAAAATCTGGTTTCATAAAAATCTATTAAAAAAATGCATTTCCCTCAATTAGATAAACATTTTCTTTACATCCATTATCCCTTCTAACATCATAAGACCATTAAACAATAATTAACTTGAATCTCAGGCATATACAGAAAAAGCAAGTGATAATAAGTTGAGTTATTTATACAAAAATCTGTAGAAGAAAAATATATAAATAATGTTTCATCAAGCTAAAAATGCTCATGAAAGATAGAAAAATGTTTTTTTGCCTTTACCAACAGAGATGGTCATTCCATTACTACCTGGTCAAACTCACGAATGCAGTCCCACTGGGCACATACAAAAGGGAGATATCATACTTATCCTAAAATTTCTGTATTATTTCCCACTGATAGTGGTTTTTTAAAAATGTCAAATATCAATATCTCTATACTTATATTTCTATTTTCTCTTGCTCAAAATTCTTTCAAACTTTCTTTTTTAGATTAGACATACACTAAATTTTAAAACCAAAACAAATTCAATTTTATGAAGAGACTGCTCCTTTCCCTTGTATACCACATCCATCTGCGCACCAAGTACTACCATTAATATTTCCTCATTATCACTTGAATCTCCTCTCTACTCTATCTCCACAGTATTTCTGCAGCTCCTCATTATCTCTGGATTACAGTAAATGTCTACTTACTGATGTCCTTCCCTAATCTATCCTCCATATATCTTTAAAATGCAATTATAACTGAATTAACTTCTCTTTTTAAATCTCTCAATGGATTCCCATGACTGACAGACCAAACTCTCTTAGAATGGCATTAAGAGTTTTATTTATCTCATACTTCACAAAATTTATTTAACCCCATCTCTAAACACAAGTATACCATGTATACTTATCTCATATTTCATAAATATTTTTACTTAATATGTATATCTCCCCCAGACCATATGTTCCTATAAGACTGGATTTATAGATTATTAATCTTTCTATTCCAGCACATAGCATAAGGCCTGAAACATGGTTTAATCAATTAATTTCTATGTTATATTTTATTATATTCACTGATTCATATGACCCATATCCAAAAATTGGTATGAATGTGATAGGGAAATATAACTAGGGACATGAGTATATTTTCTAGTCCCTCTAGTATAACTGAAAGTATTGATTAATTCAATAAATGTTGACTATCTATGATTTTACTCTTATGCTAGGCACTAAGGTGGAAACAAAGCTAAATTATTCCAGAGGTCCTAATCTCAAGGATCTTTAGCCCAAGGGATGTGATAAAATATATACATAAATATTTTATAAGGGAAAGAGTGACAAATGCCTTAAAAGGGAAGGCAGGGGTCTAGATAAAATGCTATGGCAGTTTGGCAAAGGGGCCAATGATCTTCATTTGGAGGAAATGTATTCATGTAAAGTTGTCATTTAAGCAAAAACTATAAAGGATTAGATATGGGGAGATAAGAGAAAAGTCTTCCAGGCTAAAGGAACACTGCAAGTAAAGCATGGAGCCAACAAAAAAGTCTGGCTGAAGTAAAGAATGTGTAAAGATTAGTAGGCAAAAGTTAAGAGTGTGCCTATGATGGAAGTGAATAATTAAGGGCCTTAAATTACAGTTTGAATTTTATTTTGTAGGAATCAAAGAACTTTAAAAATGACTGCCCTTTCCTTTTTGTTTCTGTCTTTCATCCTTCTGTCTCTTTGCACCCTAAAGAGCAATTATCACAGACCTCTTTGAGAATATGATGAATGCAATGGACTCCTTCCCCAGAAAAAAAAAGAAAAACAAAAAAACACTCATCTATCACACATCTCTACAAAATTCTTCATACAAAGAAAATATCCCTAATAATTTGGAGGGGTAATAAAACCAATAAAATTATATTTTAAAATGAAAACACTTAAACATATTTGTAGGTTTTGGTGATAAAGAAGAGATTGATCATGCAAAAGAGAGAGAAGAAAAGTAAGAAAGTCCCAGAAGAGGCAAAGTGGTCAAAGCATCAGAAAACAGCCCAGTGAAAGCTTCTTACAAGGCAAAATTAAAGATCAAATATTAAAAAGCTGTATTCTCATTTTTTAGGTTTTGTTACCTTAGGTACTTGCTCCAGATCTGTCCTGGATTTATCTATTTTAAAATGGAAAAGGGAAAATATGATTTTTTAAAACTTGTTTTCATTTTATTTCCATAAAATATATTTTGACAGATTCAATACTATACTAGGTCACAATTAAATAACGATTTAAGTTTCTTTCTTCAACAAATATCAAACACCTTCTGTATACCTAGGAGTAGGCAAAGCAGTGAGTATGTTTCAAATAATTTTAATCAATTGTTTAGTAGCAATAAAACAACTAAATGTATTCAAGTCTTTTTTAAATGGACACAGAAAGCTTGGTGCTATCTTATAGAAATGCTATTTTTATTGTTCAAAAGATCCACCATCCCATCCAGTATTTCCTATGATCAAAAAAATTTTTAATGCCGTAGTAGTTTTCTTCTTAGACATCTTAGTTTGTATCCTCTACAAACTTCTTGCAAATGAACCTCCTTTATCTTCGTCTCACCAATCAGATTTCAGACAAGGTACCCTCCTTTCCAAAACTAAGCTTTCTGTACTCAGACTCCATCCTCTCCTGCCTCTTCTCTGAGCTCGCATCAATTACCCTGCCTCTCCATATCTTTAACATTTTAATAGCTCTTTTCTCTCTGCATATAAACATGCTCAGTTCTCTTCGATTAAAAAAGAAGAAGAAGAAGAAGAAAGATAAAACTCAGGGCCTAGAGTAGGTTGAGGCAAGGGAGAACCTCAGGTGCAAAATTTAAGGAAGCACTCGTCTCAGTATTATGCAGATACCTCTCTTGCCTCATCTAATCCTGGCCATGCAAAAACATTCTTCTAGCACAACTGCTAGTAGAAACAAACTAGAGGGATTCTGTTCCCTCTAGTCAATACCTTAACATTTCAAATCTTCAAGTCACATCCATATTGGCAGTCTCCACTTCCTACTCTTGTACTCACTCCTTAATACATAGTATTGAAATTTCTGTAACTACTACTCCAGTCTAAATGTTCTCCCTAAGATCTCCCAAATTGCCAAATCCACAGAGATTTCTCAGAGTGCAAACCTGATCTATCCCTGAAGTATTCTGACACTGTAGACTAATTATTCGCACTTCTTTGAAATTCTAACTACCTTCAATCTCTAAGGTGCAACTCTCTCTTGGTTGACTCTCCTATCTCTCTGACTACTTCTTTTTAGTCTCCTTCACAGGTACATTTTCTACTCCTTCTTAAATGTGACAGCCTCCTAGTGTTCTATCATCAGTTCTCTTCTCCTTACTACTCACATCCTCCTGGGTGATCCCACCTGTGCCCTTGGATTCAACTACCATGCTATTGTCTAGCATACTGTCTATGATAATGTCTATCATACTTGTATCTCCAGCCTAGATCTCTTTCCTGAGCTCTGGGTTGCATACCAGACTCCTCCTTCTATGCAAAACTTCAATTAAACCAGCCTCTATCTCCTCCAAACTTCCTTCTCCAATACTACCTCTCTCACCTAGCCAGCTGCCCAAGCAAGAAATGTGGGAATCATCCTGGAATCATCTTGCTCCATTACTAACAAATGACTGACCACCAAAACCTGTGCCTCCATTTCTGAGGCATCTCTTAAAGACCTAATTTCCTCTCTATCCTCATTATAACTGCTATAAGGAACACATGATTTCTCACTTGTATTACTGCAATAGGCTTCTACTGTATTCTTGCCTCCAGTTTTATCATCATCTATAAATTTACTACCCACAACTTCTTTCACAGTGAAATATATAATCATAACTCTGATCATGTCTGGTTTAAAATATTTTGTAACTCTATACTGCTTTTAGAAAAGAAAAATGTCTTAGCATGATATACAAGGCTCTTCATGATCTGACTCCTACCTACTTCTTCAGCCTCATTTCTTGCTTCCAGTGGAGCCAGCATACTGAACTCTTGCAGGTCCCAGAACATGCTAATTTCCCTCTTGACTCTACGGCTTTGCATAAACTGTCCCCTTTCCTGAAATGCCTTTTTGCACATAAATATTTCTTGATAGTTAGTTTAAAACACAGACAATCCTCATCAACTCCAGTTTTTATAAAGCTAAGTTAGGAACTCTTTACAATATTACCATGCTGAACTTACTGCCTGATATACAGTGTTGGTTTGTTTAACCTTGCTCAGGAGACCATCAGCTTCTTGAGGACAGGGACTATTTCTTATTCATTTATTTTTAGGCAACAAGCAAAGTACAAAGCACCTGAATATTAAATAACTATTTGTTGAACTGAAGGATAACACTACCATCAGATCCATGATTTTTCTCTTTAAACCTTTTAGAAAAGATTATGATTGCAGGCTATAGAAATTTCACTAGAAATAAAAATTAGATATGATAGTCAACAAGGTCCTAAAATTAAGATTTTGTTCATTAATATTTATGCTATGCTACAAAGAGCACATATTCATACCATGAGTATGTAAGAGAGTCCTGTCAAAGGTATCTTTAGGAGGACAAATTTTCTTGCATCTCTCATGAATCTTCTCTCTCTAATAAAAAGACAAATAAATAATGTGATCAATGCTGTGTGGCAATATGAGTATTCAAAGCATTAAAATATTTAACAAAACAGAATATAAGAATATACCAAATAAGTTCTAAATTTTTCTAATATGAAATCACTAGCCTCTTGAACTTAAATACAAGTAACAAGTATGCTTAATAAACCAAATACCACTGAGGTGTGTGAATGTCTATATACTTATACTCATCCCATTTTATACAATTATAGTAAAATCTCCATAAACTTAGAATGAAGTGGGAAAGCAAATAAAAAATCCTTATTCTTATAACAGAAATCAATTAAGAAAATAACTTTTTAAAAATAAGCAAGAAAATTTTAAACCTATATACCTAAGATTGAAAGACAGATTAGTAGTTAATACTTCCTCTGAGTCCAAAAAGAAAAAAGGAAAGACAGAAAGAAACCCCACTCTGAGTTCAGGTTAGATGACCACTAACAACACTGTTATCTTTTGAGATACCATACACAGGACATATGGGAAAGTGGAGTGTGGTAAGGAAAAAACCCTGGGCTAATAGTATTATCCCTGCAGCATTCTGAGAGCAGTTCTATCAGAAACTACAGGACTGTCTCCAAAGTGGCTGTACTATTCTGCATTCCTGTGCACAATGAATAAGAGTTCCTATTAGCCACATCCTTGCCAGCATTTGGTCTTGACAGCATTTTGGATTTTCGTCATTCTAAAGGACGTGTAGTGGCACCTTGTTTTAATTTGCAATTCCCTATAGACATATGATGTCAGGCAATTTTTCATATGCTTACTAGCCATCTGTATCTTTTCTTTGGTGAAATGCCTGTTCAGATCCCTTGTCCATTTTTTGTGGTGAAATATACACAACATGAAATTTACCAGTTAAAACCATTGGTGGAGGTGGCCAAGACAGTGGAGTAGGAAGACCTTGAACTCACTTCCTCCCACAGACACACCAAAATTATAACTATTTACAGAGCAACTATCAATGAGAACCTGAAGAATAGCAGAAAAGATTTTTCACAACTAAAGACACAGAGAAGAAACTACAGCAAGACAGGTAGGAGGGGTAGAGGTATGACCCACTCACCTGGGTCAGGGACCCACAAATGGGAGAAATATCACAATTATAGAGGTCCTCCCCAAGGAGCAAGGGGTCTGAGCCCCACATCAGGCTCCCCAGTCCAGGGTCCTGTGCTGGGAAGATGAGACTCCAGCATGTGTGACTTTGCAAACTAGTGGATCTTATGTTCAGGAGAGCTGGAGAGCTATAGGAAACAGAGTCTCTGCTCTTAAAGGGTGCATGCAAAATCTCACATGCTCTGAGTCCGAGCCAGAGGCAGTTGTTTGAAAGGAGCTTGGGGCAGACCCACTGGACAATGTTGAAGAGCCTCTGAAAGAGGCAGGAGGCAACTGGGACCTCTCCAGGGAATAGAGATGATGGGAGCAGCCATTTTGGGAGCTTGTTGCACTGCAATAACACCAGTGCTGGTGAGCACCATTTTGGAATCCTCCCTCTAGTCTATTAGCACTGGGAACCCAGCCCTGCCCACCAGCAGGCCAGCACCAGCCCTGAACCCACCCGAGGCTGAAGAGATAGCCACATGGGGCCCCAGCCCCACCCTCCAGAAGGCCCATGGCCACTGCATGAGGCACAGCCTCAAAGCCAATCAGGCCGGAGGCCAGCCATGCCTACCAGTGCACCCACAGTAGTTGGCCCCCCCACAAAGTAGGGCACATGCAGCCCCACATAGGGGCTACCCCTATAGGATATAGCTCTGGTAACCAGAGGGGAGCATGTTGCTGTGCCCCACAGGACATATCCTACTTAAGACCACTTCTCCACGATCAGGAAATATAACTGACCTAACACACAGAAATAAACACAGAGAATTGGGCAAAATAAGGAGACGGAGGTATATGTTCCAAACAGAGGAACAAGACATAACCTCAAAAAAAGAACTAAACCAAGTGGAGATAAGCAATCACCTCCACTAAAAAGTCAAGGTAATAATAAAGATACTCACCAAACTCAGGAGGAGAATGAATGAAAACTGTGAAAATTTCAACAAAGAGTTAGAAAATATAAAGAACCAAACAGAGCTGAAGAATACAATAACTGAAACTAGAAGGAATCAACAGTAGATTAGATGATACAGATCTCTTCAGCAGTCTCGAAGAGGAAGTAGTGGGAATCACAGAAGCTGAACAGAAAAAAGAAAAAAGAATAAAAAAAAGTAGTTTGAGACCTCTGGGACAACATTAAGCATACTAACATTCACATTATAGGGGTCCCAGAAGGAGAAGAGAGAGAAAAAAATGGCAGACAACTTGTTTGGAAAAATAATAGCTGGAAACTTCCCTAACCTGGGGAAAGAAACGTATATCCAGGTCCAGGAAGCACAGAGAGTCCCAAGCAAGATGACCCAAAGAGGTCCACACCAAGACACATTAAAATGAAAATGGTAAAAAAAAAAAAAAAAAAAAAAAAATTATAAATACAGAATCATAAAAGCAGCAAGAGAAAAGCAACTAAGTATGTATGAGGGAACTCCCATAAGACTATCAGCTGACTTTTCAGCAGAAATTTTACATGCCGGAAGGGACTGGCAGGATACACTCAAAATAATGAAAGGAAATAACCTACAGCCAAGAATACTCAACCCAGCAAGGTTATCACAAACCTGAAGGAGAGATAAAGAGTTTAACAGACAAGCAAAAGCTAAAAGCTAAGAGTCCTGCACCACTAAACCAGCTTTACAAGAAATATTAAAGGGACTTCTCTAAGTTGAAAAGAAAAGGCCACAACTAGAAATATGAAAAGCATATCCTATGATAAACCATAATGGAAAAGAATATTTTTAAAAGAATGTATATATACACACATACACATATGTATAACTGAATTGCTTTGCTGAACAGCAGAAATTGACATAATATTGTAAATCAACTATACTTCAATTAAAAATTTAAATTAAAAAAAGAAAAGTATTAAAAAAAACTCACTGGTAAAGGCAAATATACAGTAAAGGTAGTAGATCAACCACTTATAAAGCTAGTAGGAAGGTTGAAAGACAATAGTAGTAAAATCATCTATATCCACAATAAGTAGTTAAGAGTTACACAAAACAATAATATGTAAAATATGACGTCAAAAGCATTAAATGTGGGGGTGAGGTGTAAAAATGTAGGGTGGTTAGAATACGTTCAAACTTAAGAGCATCAACTTAATCAGTGTGTGTGTGTGTGTGTGTGTGTGTGATATTTAAAACTCATGGTAACCAAAAAATACAAATACATACACACTAACTAATCAAAGATAACCAAAAAACCTACAATACATACACATACAAAAAAGAGAAAGGAATCCAAACATAACACTAGGGACTTCCCTGGTGGTCCAGTGGTTGGGACTTCAGGTTCAATCCCTGGTTGGGGGGCTGGGATCCCACATGCCTGTGGCCAAGGGGCCAAGGCACAGAACGGAGGCGGTGTTGTGGCAAATTCAATAGAGACTTAAAAAAAAAAATGGTCCACGTCAGGAAAAAAAACTAAAACTCAAACAAACATAACACTAAAGATAGTCATCAAATCAAAAGGGAAGAGAGCAAAAGAAGAGGAGGAAAAAAAAAACCTACAAAAAAAACAAGGGGCTTCCCTGGTGGCGCAGTGGTTGAGAGTCCGCCTGCCGATGCTGGGGACACGGGTTCATGCCCTGGTCTGGGAGGATCCCACATGCCGCGGAGCGGCTGGGCCCGTGAGCCATGGCCGCTGAGCCTGCGCATCCGGAGCCTGTGCTCCGCAACAGGAGAGGCCACAGCGGTGAGAGGCCCACGTACCACAAAAAAACCCAAAAAACAAAACAAAACAAAAAACCAGAAAATGATTAACAATATGGCAATAAGGACATACCTATCAATAATTACTTTAAAAGTAAATGGACTAAATCCTCCAATCCAAAGACATAGAATGGCTGAATGAATATAAAAACAAAACCCATATATATGTTGCCTACAAGAGACTCACTTCAGACCTAGCCACACACAGACTGAAAGTGAGGGATGGAAAAAGGTTTTCCATGCAAATGGAAACCAAAAAAAAAAAGGAAAGAAAAGAAAAAAAAAGCTGGGTAGCAATGCTTATATCAGACAAAGTGACTTTAACACAAAGACTGTAACAAGAGACAACGAAGGACATTACATAATGATCAAGGGATCAGTCCAAGAAGAAGATATAACAGTTGTAAATACATATGCACCCAACATAGGAGCACCTAAATACGTAAAGCAAATATTAATGAGAAAAACTGGTTATACAATGAAAGTAGGGGACTTTAACACCCCACTTACATGGTTGGATAGGTCATTCAGATAGACAATCAATGGTCTTAAATGTCACATTAGACCAGATGGAACTAACAGATATGTAAAAACATTTCATCCAAAAGCAGCAAAATACGCATTCTTTTAAATGCACACGGAACATTCTCCAGGACAGATCATATGCTAGGCCACAAAATAAGTCTCAAAATGGACTACCCTGGTGGCGCAGTGGTTAAGAATCAGCCTGCCAATGCAGGGGACACGGGTTCAAGCCCTGGCTCAGGAAGATTCCCACATGCCATGGAGCAATTAAGCCCGTGTTCCACAACTACTGAGCCTGCACTCTAGAGCCCACAAGCCACAAGTACTGAGCTCATGTGCCACAACTACTGAAGCCCGTGTGCCTAGAACCCGTGCTCGGCAGCAGGAGAAGCCACTGCACCGCAACAAAGAAGAGCCTCCACTCGTCACAACTAGACAAAGCCCACACGCAGCAACAAAGACCCAATGCAGCCAAAAATAATTAAATGAATTTATTAAAAAGTCTCAATAAATTTAAGAAGATTGAAATCATGTCAAGCATCTTTTCCAACCACAAGACTATGTGACTAGAAATCAACTCCAAGAAGAAAAAATTCAAAAACACAAACAGGTGGAGTCCAAACAACATGCTACTAGACAACCAATGGGTCACTGAAGAAATGAAAGAAGAAATTTAAGAAATACCTAGAAACAAATAAAAACATAAACATAACAATCCAAGATCTGTGAGATGCAGTAAAAACAATTCTAAGAGGGAAGTTTATAGCAATACAAGCCTACCTCAGTAAACAGAAAAATCTCAAATAAATAAGCTAAACTTCCACCTAAAGTAACTAGAAAAAGAAGAAAAAGCAAAACCCAAACTTAGTAGAAGGCAAGAAATAATAAAGATCAGAGCGGAAATAAATAAAACAGAGACTTAAAAAACAACTGAAAAGATCAATGAAACTAAGAGCTGGTTATTTCAAAAGATAAATAAAATTGATAAAGCTGTAGCCAGACTCATCAAGAAAAAGAGGACCCAAATAAATAAAATCGGAAATGAAAGAGAAGTTACAACTGACACCACAGATACAAAGGATAAAAGATTACTACAAACAATTATACACCAATAAAGTGGACAACCCAGAAGAAATGGATAAATTCCTAGAAACATACAATCTCTCAAAACGGAAACAGGAGGAAACAGAAAATATGAAAAGACTGATTACCAGTTATGAAATCAAATCAGTAATTAAAAAAAAAAAAACTCCCAACATACAAAAGTCTAGGACCAGATGGATTCACAGGTGAATTGTGTCAAACATCTAAAGAAGAGTTAACACCTATCCTTCTCAAACTACTCCAAAAGGGATGCTTCCAGACTCATTCTGCAAAGCCAGCATTACCTTGATATCAAAATCAAAGACACGACAAAAAAGAAAATTACAGGCCAGTACTCCTGATGAACATAGATGCATGAATCCTCAACAAAATATTAACAAACCGAATTCAATAATACATTAAAAGGATCATAAAATATGATCAAGTGGGATTTAACCCAAGGGTGCAAGGATGGATCAATATCTGCAAATCAATCAATATGATAGACCACAATAACAAATTGAAGAATAAAAATCATATGATCATCTCAATAGATGCAGAAAAAGCTTTGACAAAATTCAACATACATTTATGAGAAAAACTATCAACAAAGTTGATATAATGGGAAAATACCTCAACATAATAAAGCCATATATGACAAATCTACAGCCAACATCATACTCAACAGTGAAAAGCTGAAAGCATTTCCTTAAGATCAGGAACAAGACAAGGATGTCCATTCTCGCCACTTTTATTCCACATAATACTGGAAGTCCTAGCCACAGCAATCAGACAAGAAATAGAAATAAAAGAAATCCAAACTGGAAAAGAAAAAGTAAAACTGTCACTATTGGCAGAATACATGATACTATATATAGAAAATCCTAAAGAAGCTACCAAGAAACTATCAGAACTAGTAAATGATTCAGTAAAATTACAGGATACAAAATTAATAAACAGAGTCTATTGTGTTTCTGTACACTAACAATGAACCATCAGAAAGAGAAATGAAGAAAACAATCCCATTTACAACTGCATCAAAAAGAATAAAATACCTAGAAATAAAGCTAACCAAGGAGGTAAAAGCCTTGTACTTGGGAAACTATAAGGTACTGATGAAAGAAACTGAAGATGACACAAACAAATGGAAAGATATACTGTACTCATGGATTGGGAGAATTAATAGTTAAAGTGACCATACTACCCAAGGTGATCTACAGATTCAGTGCCATCCCTATCAAAATACCAATGGCATTTTTCACAGAACTAGAGCAAATAATTCTAAAATTTGTATGGAAACACAAAAGACCCCAAATAGCCAAAACAATCTTGAGAAAGAAAACCAAAGCTGGAAGTATCATGCTCCCTGATTTCAAACTATACTATAAAACTATAGTAATCAAAACAGAAATGGTACTGGCACAAAAACAGACACATAGATCAATGAAACAGAATAGAGAGCCCAGAAATAAACCCATGCTTACATGGTCAAATAATCTATGACAAAGGAGGCAAAAATATACAATAGGGAAAAGAGCCCCTTCAATAAGTGGTGCTGGGAAAAATGGACAACTACATGCAAAAGAATCTAACTGGACTATTTTCTCATACCATATACAAAAATAAACTCAAAATGGATTAGAGACTTAAATGTAAGACCTGAGGCCATAAAACTCCTAGAAGAAATATAGGCAGTAACCTCTTTGACATGGATCTTAGCAAATTTTTTTTTTTTTTTTGGATCTGTCTCCTCAGGCAAGGGAACAAAAGCAAAAATAAACCAATGGGATTACATCAAACTAGAAAGCTTTTTCACAGCAAAGAAACTATCAATAAAACCAAAAGGCAGCCTTCTAAATAGGAGAAGATATTTGCAAATAATATAACCAATAAATGGTTAATATCCAAAATACACAAAGAACTCATACAACTCAACATCAAAAAAACAAACAACTCAATTCAAAAATGGGCAGAGGACATGAATAGACATTTTTCCAAAGAAGACATACAGATGGTCAACAGACACATGAAAAGATGATCACTAATTATCAGGGAAATGCAAATTAAAATCACAGTTGAGATACCACCTCACACCTGTCAGAATGGCTGCTACTAAAAAGACAACAAATAGCAAATTAAAAGTCTTGGTCAGAATGTGGACAAAAGGGAACCCTGGTGAACTGCTGCTGAGATAAATTGGTACAGCCACTATGGAAACAGTATGGAGGTTCCTCAAAAAAGTAAAAATAGAACTGCCACAGAATCCAGCAATTCCACTTCTAGGTATTTACCTGAAGAAAACAAAAACACTAATTCTAAAAGATATATGCACACCAATATTCACTGCAGCATTATTTACAACAGCCAAGATAAGGAAGCAACCTAAGTGTCTATCAATAGATTAATGGCTAAATAAGATGTGGTATATATACACAATGGAATATGACTCAGCCATTAAAAAAAAATGAAATCTTGCTATCTGCAACATCGATGGATCTCGAAGGTATTATGATAAGTGAAATAAGTCCGACAAAGACAAATACTGTATGCTCCAACTTAACATGTGGAATCTGTAAAACAAAACAAACAAAGCAAAAGGAAAACAGACTCACAGAGAATAAACAAATGGTTGTCAGAGAGGAGGGGAGTTGGGGGGTTGACAAAATAGGTGAAGGGGATTAAGAGGCACAAGCCTCCAGTTATAATATAAATAAGTCATGGGTATGTAATACACAGCATAAGGAATATTGTCAATAATATTGTAATAATTTTGTATGGGGACAGACAGTTACTTGACTTACTGTGGTGATCATTTCATAACATATGCAAATGTCAAATCATTATATAGTACACCTGAAACTAACATACTATTGTACATTAACTAACTTTTTTTGTAATTACAAAATAAAAAATGAAACATTAGTAACGTTGACCATCTTTTCATGTGCTTATTGGTCATTTGTATATCTCCTTCAGAGAAATGTCTATGCAAGTCCTGTGCCCAATTTTTAATTGGGTTGTTTGTTTCTTATTGGTGTGTTTCACATTGATTCTTAGAACTATTAGGAATGTATAATTCTGAAAAATCACTACTGTAAGAGAAATATATTTACATATATCTAAGCAAAGAATTAAATACAACCCAGGACAATAGAATGTATATGAAAAGAAAAGAATACCATAGGCTCATCAAAGATTATTGGTCAGAAATCTATAATAAATCAAACTAGAAATATTTCTTTTACTTTTAACCTGACTATAACTAATATCAAGATCAGATATTACCTGAGAGATTTCCTGTTGATATACTGTAAAATGTTCCTTGTTGATCTGTGGGAGGTAGAATGAAGGTATGACTTCAGTGTCCACAAAGTCCAATCCCCATGTTTTTGTGAAGAAGTCAGATTCTCTTTTTGCTAATCTAGGATCATTTAATGCTGCTGGGAGATTTACTTTGGAATGATATATAGTCCATCTATGTTGATCTGTAACTAGAGATGGGGCAACACATAAACTATTTGAATCACCTGCAAAAAGTAAACAAGAGAACTCTGTAAAGTAAGTTTTATGTTTGAAAGCACATTCTAGAAAAATAAAAATGCTTAGATTATACAAAGCAACTAAACTCTCCCTTCTATAGCAAATGCTTTAACCTTCAGCTGTCAGCATCAACTGCCAAGGGGAGGAAAAACATGTACAAGATAAAGGATATGCAGAATTTGAGGGTTGTAGTTGAAGGGTGGGGGAAGAAAGTCTTTCATTAATTTCTTTCCTTAATGTACAATTTATCTTTTTTTCAACATCAAAACTCTTCTACCTTCTACTGTATGTCTTCTATCCTTTAATACTCCAGGTTTTTTCCACAGGTAGGCCTTTTTTCTATTGTTTTATGGCAGACACACCTGGTTCCAATATCCTTTTTTTCAGCTTATAATTAGATAACCAAAATGCTGCTGTGACATTAACCATAGAGGAGAGAAAAATATACAGTCGGTTCTCGTTATTCACAGTTTTGTTCTATAAAGTCACTGGAACATTTAATAAGCAAATACTGAACCTTTGCTCCTATGGGAAATACAGGGTTACGTTCCTGCAAATCTTTGCAACTTTCATCATCCAATCAATATATAATCTTGTTTTGTGTGTGTTTCTGTTTAAAGATATCTTATTTAATATATATTGTTGATTCATTAACATTGAACTCACGGCTAACACCACTATAACTCACACCTGAATGAAGCTTATGCAACATACGTATTTTCCTCATAAGACACAATATAGCCTTCCTGTGCTTAGAAACACTAGAAAGCACTTCAGTACAACATTTGGAAACCATTTTGAACAGCAAAATCATCAACAAAAATACAAAAAAATGTGGCACTAAATAGACCACAAAAGGGACATGTGTTTACAGCATGAAAGCTGAAAGAAGGCAAAGTGTTGCTTAGTTCAACCTCAGGTGGGAACGTGCATATCAGGCGATTCAAATTTTTCACTCCTCTGTGCTTGTCTACAAATGACCACAAATGTGCCACAAGTATTGATTTAGGCGTTACAACTAAATTTTAGGAATTAAGCAAATTTGCAAATATAGAATCGGCAAGTAATGAGGACTGACTGTACTATGTTTAACTGAAGAGCTTTCAATCTGTACCCTCATTTTCAAAACTTTTCTTTCAGTTTATATAAGTGACTTCGTTTATGGAAATGTATGAAAAGAACTATATTTCAATTTCTTAATCAACTTATTTCCAAATTATGTCTTTAGTTTTCATATCGTAAAATTTACTCTTTTGAGTTAAGTATATGATATCTGACTTCATTTAAAGATAAAACAAATCCTCAATAAAATTCCTCAAAAAACGGAAAAAAAGGTATTACCTGTGGGTTCCTTGGGACACACATCTGGCAGTGACTGCACAGGTCGAATGTGTTTTGTCGGGTCTACCTCTTTTTTAAAGAAAACATCACTGCTGCTTCCTTGAGGCACTGGTGAAGAACTGTGGCTTGAAGCCATTGCATAAAATCACCACTCAACTGAAAATGAGCAACAAATAATCATCAAGATACTTAATACAAATCAAAACTCATCTGTAAGTACTATACATGTCACAAAAATTTTCTTTCAAAAACAGACACATTTAAAATCCCTCAAGGTGTAAGTACATAATTTGAATACTCACTATCAATTGTGGGAGTCATTCACTATATTTAGTTTGCTAAGAAAGTTATTTGTCCTTGTTTAAAAAGTATTCTCCTCAAAGTGAAATATCCTTATTTAGTCTTTTATCCAAAGTGAAAACAGATACCAAAACTGTAACCAATATATATTAAAAATTCCATTCATTCAGCAAGTATATAATAATTATACATTATAGCAAAGTGGGTTAAGTGCATGGGTTTTTGAAATCTGACTGTCTGGGTTCATACCCCAGCTTCACTTACTAGCAATATAACCTTGAGGAAATTTACTTAATCTTTGTGTGTTTTACTTCATGTGTAAAAATGGAGATGAAAAAAGATCCCATCTCATAAACATTTTGTAAGAATTAAAGGAATGGATATATGTAAAGCATTTAAAACAATGCCTGCCTCAAAGTTAGTGTTCATAAATGAACACTAGTTATCATTATGTTTACAATTACTATGTGACTGTCACTATATTAAATGTTTATAAAGGAAGTATCATTCTTCAAAGTACTTGCAATTACATTAGGTAATCAAAAAAATCAAAACCCTAAACAAAACACAAGTTAATCTATGTCTACACTTTTTAACAAGTAAGAAGAGAATTTGTGGGGCCAAGACAACATAATAAAGGCTACAATGTCAGCTAACACTTTACAAATGAAGCAGTACATAACCTGGATAATGAAGAACATGTATTATTTTACTATCAGAGGGTAGAAACTCATATTGCTGATCATATCAACCAAACAGCAGACATTCAATAAATACTTTTTAATGAAGGAATAAATAAATGAACATAAACAGAAGCTTATAGTTGAAAAGGAACTTAGAGATCACCTAGTCTAAGTTCCCTGATACTAGCGATAAGTATGACAAGGCCCAAAAGGATTAGGTGGTTTACAAAGATACATGTGCTTTAACAAGTTTTTTAAAAAGCCAATTTAGGAAACCTGGTGAATAAAAAAGTAAGAGTAAGAAATAAAAGGAGAGATATAAGGCTAGGACTCGTGACAAAAAAAGTCATCCCCTCTAGCTCCTCTATAGTTTGATGGAAAGCCAAAAATTACATTTCCCAGACTTCTTGTATACCTGTCTCAGTCCTTCTAACACAAAGGAAACACATCCAATTACACCATTCACTGAGACCATAAGAAACAAGCTGCTAAGAAAAGAACAAAGATAAATAACTTCCTCAAAGTTCCGGAAAAAGCAAAAAACAGCATGAACAAAGGTTAAGGGACATAGAATAATCATAAGACTATGCGGAAACTGACTTGGCTGGAGTGAAATGTTTGCTGACAAAAATGCTGACAAAAGTACTGACAAATAAATCATATTTACACACACACACACACACAAAGACAGTATGGTCAAACTACAGGAGCCAGTAGAGGTTTGGGGGAAAAGAGTACTATGATGAAAATATCCGGGAAAATTAATCAGAGTATTGGTTTGAAAGCCATCACTGGCCCATTGCATTTATATCCATATATATTAAGTGTACAGTTGTTTCTGTATAAAAGCATTTGCATATTTAAGAAGAAGAAACATTCAAGAATGTTTCCTAAGGATAGGAAACACTGATAACACAGAAGCCTGTACATTCAGTGCTTGGTAAAGACAATTCTACATGTGACATTAAGTCTGTTTAACTTTTTTGTTAATTTCATCAAATAAAATGGCTAAAATAAACACATTTTGACACTTAAAGAAGTAGGCTACAAATATATGGAAAATGTGTTTATGTCGAACACCCATTGCTTGATGTCAGATAAATTAAATATTGATTCCGACAATAGCACACTACAATTTCAATGTATTCTATTTACCATCATGTTGTTTTAACAGCAAAAAGAAAGCCTAATTGACATCTTAGGAACCTAGAAATACTTGAGGAGATGAGGACTTGTGGAAAAACATTTCTAGACTCCTATAAGTTACTTCTATATCTGGGTGGGGAAATAAAAATGGCTTATTTACTCCTTAAAGATTCTGAATTGGGAAACATGCACAAGTTTTCTGTTTTTTTTCCACACCCCTCCTAATTCTTATGAAAAGAGGGACAATCTCTAGCTATAAAGGGATTATGTACAATTAGGGTACTGCCTACATGGGTGAGCCCCAATTTCTATCCATCTGACTCTCAGATCCTCTCACCATCCTGTGTTTAAGATGATCTCCCCACAGTAAGAACCAAACTTTGTATTAATAACCACATAACATGTATGACACAGATACTTGGTAAGTGCAATCATTGGTAATAAAACATGGGAGATTTATTCACAAAGCATGGATGTATAAACAAATAAGCAAATCTACATGGCCTCTAAACCAAACAATTTCAACAAAGAAATAATCTTTCATAAGAAAGTTTTAGTGTAAGTGAAGAATAGTTTGTCTATCCAGAAAAAAAAAACAAAAAAAAAAACAGAATACAGGAAAAAGGAAAGCTCTCAGCACTAAACGTAGGCAACCCTCGATTTTTAACACTTCCACTTGTAACTACCATCTAGATACAAATTGGGCATTTGACCAGTGGTCGCCAATAATGAGAATCTATAAATAGATCCACCCTTCTTCACATGGTAACCTTCTCATAATTATATCATTACCATACTCAAATATTTTCTCTTGAAGTCTTCTTTGGTTTCTTACACTTAGTCGCTGTTTATTTCTATTTTTGTACCAATCATACTGAAATTTTGGTTTTCATACAGGTCTTTCCTATTAGACTGTGAACTTCTTGATGTTTCCATTTTCCTGTGTATTCTATATGCCTAACACAGTTCCTGGCACACAGAAAATATATTATATTCTATAGATGAATGAAATGGGTAGTATATAGAACAGAGAAGAGAGAAACATTAGTTAGACAACTACCAATAATCCTTGAGTGAGTAGACAGGAGCATGGGTCTGGGCTGATAAAGAAAGGAATAAACAGACTCATTCGTTCCAAAAGAAAAAAACTGCAAGGATGTGTAAATCAGAAACATTTGATTTTTCTTTCTTGTAGCTCAAAATATCTTTTTATGCTAAAAGTTCAGTTAAGAGCTTCTATTTAAAAGGTCTAGAAGCACTGTCACTCCAGAAGCAATGACCACACCAAGTGCTCAGACCCTGGTTTCTAAATACCATTCCCCACAAAGAAACAATGGCTCTTTAAAGAAATAGTTGACTCCAAACCTGAAGCACAGAAAGAACAATTTGATCATGAGAACACTTGTGTCAGAAAGCAAGGAAATGCTCTAAGACCAGTAGGATCTATCAAAAGGAACAAGGACCAAGTTAAAGGGCTCCCACTGACCACATTTAGGACAAGTTGAGCGCTCAAAAAAAAACCCCGAGTGTAACATATTGAACAAATACAAAATAATGAATCTATAGTGTTACTTGGGGGGAGGGGGATGAGGAAAAGGGTGTGGAGTGGGAGAGGGGAAAGGAAATCTCTTATTTATAGAAGAATGCCAGTAAATGTGAATGACTGAAATAGAAAATCACCATTTTGTAACCCCCAATGTAAAAATCAATTTAGGCAAAAATCATCAATATATGCTAAAGCTATTAGGTGAAAGGCTGTTCAGAAACAGAAAATTCACCTAGTGCTAAAGTATTACCTCACAGACTACTTTGCAAGGCAAAGGGGAAAATGTATCTCTAAAATGGAAAGATCTGGCTGTCACCACCTTAATTAACTAAGTCATCAAATTTGGCATCATTCAGAATAATAAGACAACTTGATATTATGTGATTCATGAAATAATAATATGAAATAAACATCATCGCCTATGAAGCATTCTCACCAAAAATGTTTAACCCAATCTAATCAAGCCTCTAGACCAAGGGTTAAGCCTTTTGTCCTGTGGATTCCTTTGGCAGTCTGGTAAAGTCTACAGAACCCTTGCCAGAATAATGTTTATAATGCATAAAATACATAAGATTACAATGGACAATTATACTGAAATATAGCTGTCAAACTATCTTCTTAAATTTTAATACAGTAGTATTTTTGCTTGATTATGCAAATTTATCCTAATTTCTAAGCAATAAATGAGCATAAATATTTTGAGATAAATTTAATATGATATGAAAACATCTGAAATTTCTCTTGGTGACAAAGTTACAGGTAGTGCTAATACCCCTGTGAAAGGTTTCTTACATTCACAATTAAAGGAAATGCTAAAATTCAGTTAAGGTATGGCTGCTCAATCATGGCACCACTGACATTGACATTCTGATCTAGATAATTCTTTCCTTGTACATTGTAGGATCCTTAGATGCATCCTTAGCCTCTATCCACTTGATGCCAATAGCAGCCTCGCACCCAGTTGTGATAACCAAAAATGTCTTCAGGCAAAGCCAAACATCCCTATGCGGGGGAAGAGAGGAGAGAGGACAAAAATCACCTCAGTTGAGAACCACTGAATTAAAATAAAGATGTAATTTTTTCCCCATCCAAAGTTCCGACTCCCTGTATTCTATTCACAGACCCTACAGAGTATGTGAACTGAGTTAAGTACCTTTGCTCTAGACCTACCTTCCAGTCTAAGAAAACAGAGGGGAGTAGGATAGTGAGATTTAAACCACAACATGGGGAAACAAATAAACTGAGAATATGAGACACTCTACAAGAAAACTGGCCTGGACACTTAGATGAATGTCATTTTTAAAAGCTGGGGAACTATTCTATATTAAAATAAATAAAGAGACAACAACTAAAGGCAATATACAAGCCTTGACAGGATGCTGGTTAAAAAAGAAAAAAAAAATGCCTCTAATACACTCTTGGAACAATTGGGAAATTCTGAATATGGATTGGATGTTATATGAGATTTTGGAATTATTATT